AGTGCCTCACACATGGCAGGCAAGCACTCTGCCACTGAGCCACAACCCCAGCCCCACTAAATGTACATTTAAAAAGCTTTGATTAAACATAGAAAGCTAGTTTTTAGAATACATAGCAAGCAAATCAGGATCAAATATGATAGTGTTATAATTCGGGAGGATCTGGTGGGTAAGACTGGCCCAATATAGAGGGACTTCAAAAGGTTGGAAGAAAAGAAGATGGAAATGAGTGATTATGGGGTTTAGTTTCTGCTGACATTTTTTCCGCCTTCCTCCTGCTAAACTTTGCTTGTTTCTGTAGCAACTTTTGGATGACTATCCAAAATGCTTCATTGTGGGAGCAGACAATGTGGGCTCCAAGCAGATGCAGCAGATCCGAATGTCCCTCCGGGGGAAGGCTGTGGTGCTGATGGGCAAAAACACTATGATGCGCAAGGCCATTCGAGGGCATCTGGAAAACAACCCAGCTCTAGAGAAGTCAGTCAATGCTTCTGTCAACTTTGTCCTCCTTTCCTAGTGCCCTTCTCCCTTTTCCTGGAGAAGAATGGTGCTTTCAGGTAACATCTCTTGTGAACTTCTCTTTGCAGACTGTTGCCTCATATCAGGGGGAATGTGGGCTTTGTATTCACCAAGGAGGACCTCACTGAGATCAGGGACATGCTGCTGGCCAATAAGGTAAGGGGAGAATTAGGTTAGATAAAAAACTTTTTGAGTTTGGCTTCTTAAAGCAAAATTGATCTCTTCCATATTGTGTCAGAGAGACTTTTCTCACTGTTCATTGTTCAGGTTCCAGCTGCTGCCCGTGCTGGTGCCATTGCACCATGTGAAGTCACCGTACCAGCCCAGAACACTGGTCTGGGGCCCGAGAAGACTTCCTTCTTCCAGGCTTTGGGCATTACCACTAAAATCTCTAGGGGCACCATTGAAATCCTGGTGAGTAGACCAGGCTCGCCAGTGCGAGCTGGGCATATGGGGGGCTTCTCCTGGAGGCTGTAGGACTGCTGGATGTCCAGGTATTAATTGCGCACTGTTACTTTATTCCTCAGAGTGATGTGCAGCTGATAAAGACTGGAGACAAAGTGGGAGCCAGCGAAGCTACCCTGCTGAACATGCTGAACATATCCCCCTTCTCCTTTGGGCTGATCATTCAGCAAGTGTTTGACAATGGCAGCATCTACAACCCTGAAGTGCTTGACATCACAGAGGAGACTCTGCATTCACGCTTCCTGGAAGTATGTGCTACCCAGCTCCGCTCCTTCCTACGTTAATGGTTGGGAACATGACAAGTACCAGAGTTGGCCAGGTTATTTACTCTTGTATACTGTAAGATTGTTGAAAGATTTAATGAGGATAAGGCCTTAGAAAAATGCTGGGCATGCAGTAAGGGTTATTATTCCAGGGCCTGCAATGATGAGACATGAAATTTTGAAGTGTCATGACTTGAAAGAGAAGTGACAGTTTAATAGATAAAAGTTTACGTTGCCAAGTGCCCTTTGTTGGGGATGACTGGTTGTCCTTATTTTTGACATTGTCGTGCCTAATTCTGCCATTAAAATGTCTTTAAGGAATAATAATGATAGAAGATGTAATTCCTTTTTTCTTGTATCTGTGGGTTCTGCATCTATAGGTTTAACCAATTCAAGTTTGCTAAAAAGGAAATAAGTACTGAATGTGTGCACACTTTTTTTCCTTGTCATTCCCTAAACAACATAGTATAATAACTATATGGTATTTGCATTGTATTAGTTATTAAAAGTAATTTCAAGACGAAGACGATTTAAGGTGTAAGGAGGATGTTTGTAAGTAATATGCAAATACTACACTATTTTATATGAGGGACTTGAGTATCCACAGATTTTGGTATCTGTGGAGGGGTCCTGGAACCAGTCTTCCGTGGATATGGAAAGAGCACTTGTCTTTAAAGTTTTTATCTCATATATTGAAGTCAATGACTATTAACAGTTTATTTTTCACAAAATGGTGACTTTTCAGGTAGCCACCACCATCATGGTGTATTGAATACCTGGGTTTGGAATAAGTGCAAAAACATTTTATAAACTCATCCGTTTGAATTGCCCTGCTAGGAGCATTTGGTGTAAGATGAAATGTCTCCTTTGAGATTGAGCTGCTATGAAGACCAAGCTTTCCTTGGTCTTCACTGTTTTTTATTTTTTTTCCTTTAGGGTATCTCACTAAAATGTAATCTTTCTCTTTTCTCCCACAGGGTGTCCGCAATGTTGCTAGTGTTTGTCTGCAGATTGGTTATCCAACTGTTGCATCAGTACCCCATTCTATCATCAATGGGTACAAGAGGGTCCTGGCTTTGTCTGTGGAGACTGAATACACCTTCCCACTTGCTGAGAAGGTAAGATTTCACCCAGGACCACAGCAGGCCTGACAGGGTAAGAAACAGTAGCTTTATTGAGTTAGTCCTTTTGTTACCATATCCAGGGGTGCTTAAGCACTGAGCCACAACCCCAGCCTTTTTATTTATTTTTTTGATACCAGCCCTCTTATGTATTTTATTTGGAGACAGGGTCTCAATGAGTTGCTTTGCACCTCACTTTTGCTGAGGCTGGCTTTAAACTCGTGATCCTCCTGCCTCAGCCTCTGAGAAGCTGTGATTACAGGTGTCTGCCACCACGCCCAGCTCCTTTTTTTATTTAAGAGCTTAAAGAGATTGGGGACAAGGGAAATGTATTCTCACTTTAGAAATGATAGGAGATCCAGAGAGGTGGGCTGTGGGCAAGAGCTGGGCCTTAATCCCCGTCACTAGGCCATACCTATGTTCCCCTGCAGGGATTTGACTAGAAAGGCTATACTGGCTTAGACGTTGTAGTTATTTATTTTGAGCCATACAAAGGCAGGAAGCTTGTGAGTAGTAGAGGGGTGTGGATGACCACTTTGACCACTGACTTTTCTTCAGGTCAAGGCCTTCTTGGCTGATCCATCTGCATTTGTGGCTGCTGCCCCAGTGGCTGCTGCTACTACTGCTGCTCCTGCTGCTGCTGCTGCTGCTGCGGCCCCAGCCAAGGTTGAAGCCAAGGAAGAGTCGGAGGAGTCGGATGAGGATATGGGATTTGGTCTCTTTGACTAATCACCAAAAAGCAACAACTCAGCTTTATATGCAAAACAAAGAAATAAAGGCTTACTTCTTAAGTTTCTGAACTCTTCATTTTCTACATTTTGAGATTTATAGTACTTAATGCTAAAAACTAAACAATGGTATAAACATGAGAACTTTGTATTTGGAGTTGATATTTGCGTTTTCTTTTTGTCCCTTCTTTTTTTGGAACTGGGGATTGAATCCAGGGCATTGTGCGTGCAAGGCAAGTGCTTTCCACTGAGCTACTTCCTAGCTCTGAGGTTGATATTTGGATGGGTTCTTTTTTGAGTCTGAATGAAAATACTGCTCTTCTAGGGTATGGTAGTTCCTCCTTATCCACAGGGGATATGTTCAAAACCTCAGTTTGATGTAAAAAATTACACATACAGGTGTCCCTCAGTATCTGTAGGAAATGGTTCTAGGACCTTCTTGGATGTGAGTCTGCCAATGCTTAAGTCCTTTTATAAAATCATAAAATAGTGTATAGAGTACTTAATACCTAATACAATGTAATATGTATTCAGGGAATAATGAACACATGCTAAATAGAGCCAGCTTTTAAAAATATGTAGTTAGTTGGATCTACATGTGGAACCCTTGAATTTTTTAAAAAAATATTTACTTAGTTTTAGGTGAACACAATATTTTTATGTGGTGTTGAGGATAGAACCCAGTGCCCCACGCACTACAGGAGAGCATGCTACCGCTTGAGCCACATCCCCAGCCTTGAAGTTTGAGGGCTGATTACTGATTTTTCCTTACAGACCTAAGTTTTCATTTATGAAGTTTGGTACAATTAGAGGTTATTACTAATCAAATGGAACAATTAAGCTATAATTAAATTGGGGCCCTTAAAGCAAAATAAGGGTTACTGGAATATAAACCCTGGTTGTGCAGTGGGTTTTAAGATGGCTGCTGAGGTAGCTTCAGTTTGGATAGACTAGACAGGGATGATTCATGTCCCAGTAGGGAGGGTGCAATATTCACACTAAACAGCATGCAAGTTAAAACATGAAATGTTTCCGGGGTTTTTCTATTCCATACTTTAAGATAATAGTTGGGGGGTGTGTGTGGGGAGAGACTGTTGAAAGCAAAACTGAAGATGAAGGGGGACTACTCTATTTTTACACAAGAATTCTTGTTTACATGGGTTCCTCTAAGGAGTATTTCACTTAAGATAGGCATTCAAGTAATGCCAGGTCAGTTCTGGAGAGCTTACTACTTGGCAATTGAAAGGATAGGTATTTTGTCATAAAGCTTCGAGTTCACGTACAGATAGATCTGTGCTGGATCATGATATATTTGTAACTTGGGCTGTCAAAAAAGATTGAAAGCCACTGCTAGTCCTGGACCAAACTAAACTGGAGATCCTCCAGAGAGCAACCATATTGGGTAAAACTGAGGCAACTCGCTAGGGCTTCTTCCTACCCCCTGCATCCTCCCACCTCGTGATCTTTACTTTTACTCCCAGTCTAGGCGGCCGTCCAGCATTTCCCCAGGCCAGGCTTCTCCTGCGTCTTTCCTTGATGCCCTATCTACCCATTTTCAGGCCCTCTCCAAGTCATTCCCCAAGGAATTGCAAACTCCGTCTCAACCTAGTTCAGTTGTGGCGGTCTGGGAGCAACATTCGTAGTTTCTCTACGGAATGCAACGTACCAGGAAGGCCTAAGAGGGGGTGTCCTGGCTGCGCCTGCGGCTCTAAGTGGCTGGGGGCTGCAGGGTGGTCTCACCAATTTACAAATCCTCGGACCCTCGTCTCCCTCCAGGCCAGGCTGAGAAGCTGGGACCCGGGTAGGAAGAACAGACGCTGGCAGCCAGCGCCCTGGGTACCTAAGTCCAAGCAAAGGCTGCTGCGGCCGCCATCCCGCCCGGGGGCGCCAAGGACCCAGCACGCTTCAGGCCTCGCCCTGCCGCGTGGGCCCCGCTATGATCCGGAAGCGCTCCGGAAGCGGTTCCGGAGTCAGCTCCGGCAGGATGGCGGCCGACACGCAGGTGAGGTGGGCGGCTGCGGGGCCAACGCGGCCAGCGCCTGGGCGCGGACCGTAGCGGTCGGGCGAGACCGCTCAACCTAAGGATGCGGGGTATGGCGGCTGCGGAGGGCGTGGCGCAGGGGCCTCGGGCCGGCTCCTCGCGGCTCCCGACGCGGCCCGGGCGGCGCAGACCGATCCCGGGCTCGGGGAGGCAGGAGCTCCGGCTTGAGCAGCTGGAGACCTGCGGGGCCTTGCCCTGACCTCTCAGTTGCAGAAGTTCACCTTTCGGAGTCTCCGCTCTGTTTTTCCAAAGCTGTGAGCTCCGGGCCAGCGCCGAGTCTTCTTTAAACTTTGTATTCAGTATTTTTCGAGCACCTACTATGTGTAGGGATTTAGTAATCTTTGGGTTCATACAGATTTGGGTTTGAGTCCCACCTCATCGATTTTTGTGAGACTCTAGACAAGGGACTTCACCTCGCCAAGACTCAATCTTTTCGTCTGTAAGAGGGGATTGAAATGGCACCTATTATATAGGGTTGTTGGTGAGATTCAGTGCAATTATGGAGGGTTTGGTATGTTTGGGTTGTTCTTACTAGGTGCAGGGTTACAGCAAGAACTGCCCCTACCCAAGAAGAGTCTTGGCACTCTTGAGTGTTAACACCTGTGGGTTTCTTGTAGTTCAGAAAAGACTTAGGAAAACCATTTCCCTCCATCTAGCCTCCTTTGCAGCTGCATTTAAAGGTGAAAAAACAATACCAGGGGAAAAAAGAAACCGGTATCTAAAGGACAATTTAGCTCGCTTGATCTCCACTTGAGAAGATTGATGTGTGTGGGTGCGCGGGCTGCGAGGCAGAAAAGTGATCACTTAACCTGAACATTCAGGAGAATTTTAGTGAGGGTTTCCCATGCCAGGGGCTGTTAATTTGTTTAAAGTTATGTTATACTAAATCCTAGGAAGAAAAGTATCTTAGTCTGTTGGGTATTGGAATGATATGTTTAATATGTAATGTTAATACTCAGGCGTAAAAGAGTCTTTTTCTCTAGAACTGTGTTGTCCAGTATGGTAGCCACTAGGCATGTGGCTTTGTAAGTTAGATAAAATAAATGAAAGTATAAAATCAAGGCATCTTGGTGCTCACCACTGGATGTGTTATTGTGTATAGTACTTTTTTTTTTTTTCCCTTTTTGGTGGGGAGGTATGCTGGGGATTGAACCCAGGGCCTTGCACATGCTAGGCAAGCATTCTTCTACTGAACTACACACTCAACCCCTGTGCTCTTATACTGTATATAAAGAGGAAGCAAAGTATACCTCAGCCTAGGCTCTGTGCCTGGTCTGTATTGTGAATGGGGAGACAAGGAGTTGGGGGAAAAAAGTTAAATTCAAACTGAATGCATGATGTATACCTGTAATCCTAGCTGCTTGGGAGGCTAAAGCAGGAGGATTGAAAGTTCGAGGTTAGCCAGGGCAACTTAGCAAGAGCCTGTTTCAAAATAAAATAAAAAGTTGGGCTGGGGATGTGACTCAAGCGGTAGCACGCTTGCCTGGCATGCGTGCGGCCCGGGTTTGATCCTCAGCACCACATACAAACAAAGATGTTGTGTCCGCCGAAAACTAAAAAAATAAATATTAAAAAATAAAATAAAATAAAAGGGCTTGGTGTCTAGCCCAGTGGTGAAGTTCTTGTCTAGCATGTGTGAGGGCCTGGGTTCATCCCCAGTGTTATTAAAAAAAAAAAAAAAAAAAAATTGGGACTGAGAATGTAGCTCAGTAGTCGAGCACATGTCTGGCATGCAGGTGGCTCTGGGTTTGAATCTCAGACAGACAGACAGACACACACACACACACACACACTCTCAATTCCCATAAGGATTGGGAGAAGGGAAGCAGACAGCAACAGTAAACTTTTGGAAGCTAGAAAGTGTCAATGAGTGGTAAAAGATTTAGCAGTTCCAAGGAAATGAATCCTGATCCTAGCAGGTAGGAAAGCTGAGAATCAACCTGAAAATACATTGTAGAATCTCTGAAAGTGGGGATTGATGGTATCAGCTAACCTTGAATCAGGGTTAGAGGAGGAGCTAGGTTGAGGAGGACTGGCTGAAAGCCATGTTCAGATGCAGTCAGATTCCTAGGTCTTTTTTTTTTTTTTAATTTATTTTATTTTTAGAGAGAGAGAGAGAGAGAATTATTTATTTATTTAAGTTTTCGGCGGACAGAACATCTTTGTTTGTATGTGGTGCTGAGGATTGAACCTGGGCTTCACGCATGCCAGGCAAGCGCGCTACCGCTTGAGCCACATCCCCAGCCCCTTTAATTTATTTTAAAATTTAACTATATACATATACACACATTTTAGTTGTCGATGGACCTTTATTTTATTCATTTATTTATATGCCATGCTGAGAATGGAACCCAGTGTCTCACCCATATTAGGCAAGCGCTGTACAACCTCAGTCCAGATTCCCAGATCTTTTGTTCCTCACTCGCAAAAGACTACAGATTTTCTCTATGAAGACTGTAGAGCAGAGGACCACTGCTCTGGGAGCACTAGTATAGGACTAATATTCAAGGAAATTGTCAAGAAACTGTCTCCGAAGTGAAGGATGTGTTTCTAACCCAAAAGTTCTCAGCACAGTAGTAAAAATTGACTCAGAACAAAGTACATTATCCTGAAATTTCAGAACCCTGAAGCAAAGAGAAAATCCAAAAGCTTCTAGGGAGAAAAATCAGGTCTTACCCAGAGAATACAAAGTCAGAAGCTGGACACAGTGGCACACTCCTGTAATCCCAGCAATATGGGAGGCTGAGGCAGGAGGATCGCAAGCTTGAGGGCAGCCTCAGCAACTTGGTGAGACCCTGTCTCAAAATGAAAAAGCAGTAGATGTAGCTCAATGGTAAGGTGCCGCTGGGTTCAATCCCCAGCACACACACACACACACACACACAAAGACAAAAACAAAACAAAAAAAGAATGACATTGGACTTCACAACCACAACTTGAGAGTTAGAACTCAGTGGAAAAATGTCTTCTGTTTTCTGAAGAAAAATGAGTGCAACCTAGAATTCTGAGTCTAGACAAACTTTGGTCACCTATGAGGCTAGAACAGTTTCAGACTTGCAAGAACTCCTCAGAATGGAGGATGTTTATTCTTCACCTGGACAGTAATAAGAAAAGAGTACATTTTTCAAGGTGATAAACTGGACTTCAACTGTAGAGGGTCACCTACCAGATTGTGGAAGGACAGAAAATCAAAAGACATTCCTTCAGGAGAATAAAATTTGCTGAAATTCCTGATCTGTTTAAATGTATCAAATTGAAACAACTGAAAGTTTTGAATTATTAGTAAGAATAGATAAAGCAAACCGAAGTGAGGTGAGGTGGTTATTAACTCCAGAAAAATCAAAATGCTGGCAGGATAAGAAACAGTTATTTTACCTAGTGTGTAGTAGGCCCAGAGTTCAATCCCCAGCGCTGCAAAAGACAAAACAGTTAATGACATGGAAGTTGAATACCTATATATAATGCAAACACTGACCTCTTAGGTAGTCCCTATGACAACACTGGGAACTTACACTGGGGAAGTGTAGAGAGCGTGTGGTGGGGTCCGAGGAGGAAGGTAGGAAAACAGTGAAACTGAAAAATCAAGAAGAATCAGCATGAGCAACATTGCCTCCATATTTAGAGGTATGGACTGAGGGTAAAGACTGGTTTAGGTTAAAACCATCATTTATATAGAAGTTTGGACATCAGTTTGTTCATTGCCAAGAGAATTAAAACAGGGATTTAAGCAGAAAAAGAAAAAAATGCAGCCTCATTTTATTTCTCTGGCCCCGTTGAGTTATACTACTAATGAGAGCTGCCTGTGAAATATCCTCAAAAATACCACGATGGCCCTTATGTGTTACCGAGTCCTTCTCTACTGCTCGCTCATGAATCCACAACCTGCCCACTTTGTGGCTTGTAGAATACTGCTCAGAAGTAGATTTTCTTGGGCTTTCAGAAATATATGCACACTGGCCACCTCCCTGGGTCTTATGCTTATGTCCCTAGCAGGGGACTATAGCTGTGTTAACTCAGATGGCTGTTGAAAGCTAAAGACTTGGCATCAGTTTATGCACTTATTTGGTTTCAGTCTTAGTTTCAAAAATGCAGATGCTGTGACTCTGGGCTGCATTCTGAGCAATGACTTCCCCTCTTGGAGGTGGTTCCTTCATCACTAATGAGATGGGGCTACTGGTGCTATTCTTGCAATCTTGTTAGTGTTAGTAACCAGTTTGGGCTCAAGATGAGTAAGTGCTGTGTTTCTTTTTTTTAGTTTATTTTTTAGTTATAGGTGAACACCATATCTTTATTTTTATGTGATGCTGAGGATCGAACCCAGTGCCTCACACATGCTAGGCGAGCACTCTACCTGTGGGCCACAACCCCAGCCCAAGTGCTGTATTTCTTTAACTCATTAATTGCCACAGCAGTCATATGAAATAGGTGCTATAATCTGTCCCGGATAGATGAAGAAACTGAAGATCAGGAGGTGACATTATTTGACTTGAGTTTCTACAGCTAATTAGGGGCAGAACTGGGCTCCAACCTTTTAATCTTTTACCTTTAGCGAGTGTACTTTGCTCAGCTAGACTGGCCAGGAGGTTCAATGAAAATACTGTATTAAAAAAACATTCCCCTATTAGTTGATAAAGTGGGATAATGTAAAAGGAACATACTGGGCACATAGGCCTTCTCTAGGTTTTGGGTAGTTCTGAAAAGATATTTCTGTCGACAGGTTTTTGCCCTTTGCCTTCCTATTTTGGCCCAAGTCTAAAATGTGCATCTCAACTGGGCCATGATTTTGTTCCCCAGGAGTCATTTGACAACATTGGGAGATTTTGGTTTTCAAAACTGCTTGGGGGAAGGGCTGGGGATATAGATCAGTTGGTAGAGTATTTGCCTCAAATGCATGAAGCCCTAGGTTCAAACCCCAGCACCACCACAAAGACAAAGACTGCTTGGGGAGGAGAATGACTGCTGGTGGGTAGAGACCAGGAATGCTAGTAAAATCTTATAAGGGGTAAAGGCAACACACTCCCACAAAGAATTATCCAGCCTCAGTGCCAGTTGTGCACAGTTCCAGCACATACACACTCGTGTGCACATACACATTCATTGTTCTGTAGTCTACCTGGTGAAACTGTTTTTGTGGGCTTGGTCTTCACAGGTTTCCGAGACACTAAAGCGTTTTGCGGGGAAGGTAACAACAGCCAGTGTGAAGGAACGGAGAGAAATCCTGGGTGAACTAGGAAAGTGTGTTGCTGGAAAAGGTATTTATTTACCATCTTATTGCCTGTATACTATTCCATTTAAAAATAATTTCTTCTTAGAGCTATGATCTTCTTTTTCTTGCTCTGCACAACTTCTGCCTTCACTTTGTTTGTTATAATGTGCGTTGAAACAGTTGAAACATTTGGGTTAGTGGAGATTTTTTTCATTCAGGTGTCAAAGCTTTTTATAGTTTTTATACATTTCAATTGGAAATGTTTCTAGAAGATACCAACAATCCTTCTTTATTTTTGTTTTTGGTACTGGGGATTCAACCCAGGGGTGTTTTATTGCTGCTCTATATCCTCAGCCCTTTATTTTTCTATTTTGACATAGGGTCTTGCTAAGTTACTCAGGGGCTTACTGAATTGCTGAGGCTGGCTTTGAACTTGTGATTCTCCTCCCTCAGCTTCCTGAGAAGCTGGGATTACAGGTTTGCACTGCTCTTACCTGGCCCAACAGTCTTTCTTTAGAATATGGGTACAAAAGCATTCTTGTGACTTGGAGCACAGTTTTTCTCAATGTGTGTTCATGCAAGTCAGCAAGATGGTAGCAGATGATTGAGCAGTAAAGAATTCCTGTAAATTTGGGAGATGTTTTCTCATACTCATCTGGGACATTTACAACAAACTGTTTTTGAAAAGAACACTTAATAGTGTTCTTTTCTTTCTTTCTTTTTTTTAAGTACTGGGGATTGACCCCATGGGTGCTCTACTACTAAGCTATATCCCCACTCCTTTTTGGTTTTTATTGAGACAGGGTCTTGCTGAGCTGTTGAGGTCAGTCTTGAACTTGAGAGCCTCCTGCCCCTAACTTCCTGAATTGCCGGGATTATAGGTGGATGCCACTGCACTCATTTTTTTTTTTTTTTTTCCAATTCTGAGGTTTGAACTCAGGACCTTGTAGAAACTTTGCAAGCACTTGAGTATTGAATTACATTCCTAGCCCTATTAAGTGTTTTTTTAATACAGTATTTTCATTGAACCTCTTTTTTGCTGAAAACTTACTTTCCCAGGGCCTGGGGAGCATGTGATGGGAAACGCCAGGCACATCTAGTTGTCCTCATCGTGCCTACTAACTGACATGACCTATGGGGCTGTGTAAGATCATTTTGCCTTCATTTAATAAGTCCTCATTGGTTTTTTAAATTTCGTCTTGATGTGTTTGTTTTATTGTACAGCATTGGTTGTCACAATGTGGTTCCTAGACTGTTAGCATCAGCATTGCCTCAGAACTTGTTTCAGAGATTCTCAGCTCCACCAGCAACTCAGAAACAATTCAGAAAGCCCTGGGGTGGGTCCTGAGCTCTCTAGGAGATTCCTGATTTGTTCAAGTTTGAGCTATGGCTGTGTGTCATAGCTTTTGTCAGCTCCTACTCACATTGGTGAAGAGCCTACTTCCCACCACTCTTCACCCCTGTTGATTTTTTTTTTAAGTTGTCAATGGACCTTTATTTTATTTATTTATATGCGGTGCTGAGAATCTAACCCGGTGCTTCACACATGCTAGGCAAGCACTCTGCCATGAGCCACCCCCAGCCCACCCCATCCTTTTTTGATGCTTCTCAACTGCTGTTGTCTGAGCAACATACCCAAGCTTGTTAAAGTGGTGTATAAATGGAGTAAATTGCTGTGTGTGAGCTTCTGAGAACTTTGCCTGTGTATTAATCTTTAGTGTATGAGTTTACGGCCTCCTCAGAGGTTTTTTTCTCAACATGGTTCTAGTTATTAAAGACAGGTTGTGATGTTATCACTGTATGTGTGTGCGGAGCCATAATGGTTGACTCCCCCTGTGAAATGACTGCTGAACACTACATTCTCCACTTTGTCCCAGTTGTTGGGGTGAAGATATGGTGCTAAGGATAGAACCCGGGTCCTGCCCGTGCTAGGCGAGCGCTCTACCGCTGAGCCACAAACCAGCCCCTACTTAGGACCTTTTGAGGGTAGTTTTACTCTTCTGTCACCCTGAAATTCTACAGTTCAGGGTGAGCTGTGTTTGTGAAGTGCTTAGACTTTGATGTATAAGTTGATTGTGGAAAGTTAACCAACTCCTTCATGAAATCATTAATTCTCGGTATTCTAATTTTTGAGTCCAAGGAAAGGCTGTTGTATAGTGAGTCTTGCCTCCATTTGTTATGGTAACAGATAATCAAGTAATTCAACCAAAGATGGGATAAGATATTTCCAGCCAGGGTGAGGGGTTGAGGACTTTGTCAGAGCTGGCTAATCCTGGGGGCCATTGGTGCATATCTCCCAGCCCAGCCTGAGCCTGAGCCTAAGGCCTCTGAGGCTGCTCTGCTCTCCCCACTCTTGTCTCCATAGATCTGAATGGAAGACTCACTGAGGCAGTGTTTCCTGTGACTGAATTTTTTTCTAGTTCAATAATCAGTGATGAGAGGTTCAGCTGTGTTCTAGCCATGCCTTTGCCACATACAGGTAGTGTGACCTGCCCTCGTCACTTTACCTCTCTAAGCCTGTCTCTCGTCTTTGAACCTGAGATGGCAGTAGTACCTGTCTCAGGGTTGGTATGAGGAGTAAAAACACACCTGATGCTGTTTGACGCATCGCCTGGCTGTGGCTTGCTTGCAGGGTATATTAGCTGTTGTTCTTGCCATTCTTTTAGCCACCACCTGTTTCTGGCCCTATTTACTCTCACTCTTTTTCCTTTAATTACTGACGTAGTCCTAAGTCAGACTGACAACACAGTATTAAGAGCTCTGGGAACTTGGTCCTTGTACCTCATTCATTTCTCTTTCCTCATTTGGGTGCCTGGAATGCAGGCACCCTGTGAGCCCTTCATGGATCTCTTGCTCTTGGGGGCTTCCCATCTTTGTCTGCGGTCTCTGGTCTGGCCTTCAGCACTCGTTACATGCTGGCTTTCTAACATTCCTGAGCACTCTTGGTGGACCAAACTGCTTGATTCCCTCTGGCTGGCCTGCTTGGATTCCTGTTGCTCATTTTCTTCACCTTAAAGAGGGCTTATTAATAATAGAGCCCTCTTTGTGGGAATTAAATCAGTTCACAAGTGTGAAGCGCTTAGAGCAGCACTGAATGAGTGCTGGGGGACAGCGGGCCTTCCTTTCAGTGCCCTGCATATCTGCTCATGTTACTAATAGCACTGAGCATGTGCTGCCTTCTCTTTGCACGTCTCTGTTGACTACTTACAGGCCATCCCTAGGTCCTTTAGACTTTCAGAAACCACTCCAGCTAAGGTCTCTTTCCTTTTCTAGTCCTGGTACTTCAATGCTTTCTTTCTTTCTTTTTTTCTTTAGGTACAGGGGATTGAACCCAGGGGCACTCTACCACTGAGCTACATCTCCAGCCCTTTTTTGAGACGGGGTCTCCCTAAATTGCTGAGCCTGGCCTCAAACTCGGGATCTTCCTGACTTAGTGTCCCTAGTACCTGGGATTACAGAATTGTGCTATTGACTTTTCTTTTCTTTGAGACAGGGTCTTGCTGAATTGTTCAGGTTGGCCTCTAACTTGTGGTCCTTGTGCCTCAGCTCCTCAGGTAGCTGGGACTGTAGGTTCACACCACCATGCCTGGATTGTACTGTGTTTTGAACTGTTTATTAGGATGTACATAAAGAAAGATACAAGCAGCTTGCTGAATCATTACACACTAACATGTCGTGTTACCAGTATCCAGAACAAGAAGCAGAATAGTCCAGAACTCCCAGACCTCTGCTCCATGGAGAGCATAGAGTATTTATTTTTAGGTTTAAATGGATACAATGTCTTTATTTTATATTTATGTGGCGCTGAGGATCGAACCCAGTGCCTCATGCATGCTAGGCGAGCACTCTACCACTAAGCCACAATCCCAGCCCCAGCATGGAGTATTTTGAAACCACTTGTGCTTCCTTTGTTTCATTCATTTAGCAAATGTCTCCCTAAAGCTTTTCTGTACCAGGCATTTTCCTAGGGTGTTTTTTGTTTTTTTCCTCCTGAGGATTTTATCCCACATGTGGGGAGTGTCAGCGTCCAGTGGCCAAGACCCTGGCTGGCAGAATGCTTGGCTTAAGCAAATGCTCACTTTGTCTTTTATTGATCCATTTTTGTGTGATCTTGGGTTTCAGATCTGCCAGAGGGAGCAGTGAAAGGGCTCTGCAAGTTGTTCTGCTTGACTCTGCATCGATACAGGTGAATCCCAACCAGAGGCTCAGTGCCTGGAGCACTTGATACAGAGAGATGGTATGGGGTAGTGGTTAGACCTGGGTCCATATCTAGCTGCTGGGCAAGTTCTTAACCTCTCTGTGCCTCAGTCTCTTCATCTACAGACTGGGAATGATGCTGTTGTCTAACTCATATAGGTGGTGGTAGTATAAAGGCATGGAACCATGCCTGCCTCGTCCTAAGTGCTCAGTGTGTGTATGCCATCCTTCATCATGCATGCAAAAGCACTTGGCCTGGTTGGAAGCCCTAATATGTGTTCCATAAATGTAGGTGCTGCCCTTATACTCTTTTTTTTTTTTTTTAAAAGAGAGAGAGAGAGAGAAAATTTTAATATTTATTTTTTAGTTTTCGGCGGACACAACATCTTTGTTTGTATGTGGTGCTGAGGATCGAACTCGGGCCGCATGCATGCCAGGCGAGCGCGCTACTGCTTGAGCCACATCGCCAGCCCATTTTTTTTTTTTAAAGAGAAACTTTTTAAAAAATATTTATTTTTTAGTTGTAGTTGGATACAATATCTTTATTTATTTATATGTGGTGCTGAGGATTGAACTCAGGGCCTCACATGTGCTAGGCAAGCGATTTATCACTCAGCCAAAATCCCAGCCCTGCCCTTATACTCTTTTTTTTTAAATATTTTTTCAGTTGTAGTTGGACACAATATCTTTATTTATTTTTATGTGGTGCTAAGGATCGAACCCAGCGCCTCACACATGCGAGGCAGGTGCTCTACCACTGTGCTACGGCCCCAGCCCCTGCCCTTATACTCTTAATGGTTTATTTGCCCTTGTCAGCTACTTTTAAAACTCTGGGAGGAGGTGGATTTCTCTAGTTATTTCCTAATCCTGTCGTCTGTGTCCTCTAGAATGTAGTGTGATTGTGTTTTTTCTGAGAAAGGCCAGTGCTTGGTTTAAGCAGTCCTGTCCCTGCCTAAGTCCACACACTCACCTTTCTCCTTCATTCTTTCCCTTAGAGATGCAGCCTCCCGCAGGGCCCTGCAGGCAGCCATCCAGCAGTTGGCTGAGGCCCAGCCAGAGGCCACTGCCAAGAACCTCCTGCACTCTCTGCAGTCTTCAGGCATTGGCTCCAAAGCAGGTGTTCCCAGGTAAGCAGTAAAGATTGTGGCTCCTTAGGGATTGGTGGGTCCTGCTCAGGTAGGCTAGGCTAGTGCAAATGAACCTCACTAGCACACCTTGTTCTTAGCTCTTTGCTCTTTGAATGGCCCTGGAGTCTGCTTGGAGTCAGCCTCTGGTGGAGGGAGGAGTGAGGATAGGCAGCTCAGTGGAGAATCACACTTTCCTGAGAAGCAGGGCTGGAAACTGGTGGAAGCAAGGCACTGGACAGGGCAAGCCATCCTTTTGTTTTTATGATCGTAAGTGCCAAGAAATGGAACTTTGGCGAATAAGACTTGACTCCTGTCCTTAGTTGTCATAGGTGATTTACAGGGAGTAGGTTTCTGCCCCCTTTGGTCAAGAGAGGGTCCTATGTACCAGGCAGGGCTGTGGGGGTGAATATTTGTTCTCTGTACTCACCCTCTCTTCCCCTCTCCTCTACAGTAAGAGCAGCGGCTCAGCCGCCTTGCTGGCTCTGACCTGGACCTGCCTTCTAGTGCGCATTGTCTTTCCCTCAAAAGCAAAGCGGCAAGGAGACATCTGGAATAAACTGGTAGGTTCCCAGGTCATTGGAGAAGTGAGGGTCAGCTTTCTGCATGGAGTTAGGGGTATTTTAGTACCTCCGATGTGGCAAGTGCTCTTCCAGGTACCGTGACAAGGAACTTGACCTACCCTGAGGCATGTGACTTTTGAAGTTGGGCACAAGTGCCAACATAATCATATTCATCAATTCACAATATGGTTTTGAGCTTCTCTTTGAGGCACAGGAGATACAGTGATGCACAAGAAGACCATGGTCCCTGCCTTCATGGCATGTATGGAAGGCTTGACAAGCTGGAGTGGGAAAGATAGCCAAAAAGCAAGCAAACCATAAACCATAGCAGTGTAAATAATTTTTTTTTTTCTTGATAATTATCCTTTTTCTTGTATTTGGATCTCAATGTTGAACTGGCTAGTGGAATAGAATTCTTGCCTTGCCTTTTGGTCCCTAAATTTTCTCCTCCCTTTCACATTCCCTACTTTTTGTTCCCACATGTCTACTTACTAGAGATGGCCTAATAGGCTAGGTGGGGAGTTTCTTTTGAATGAGTAGATATGCTTAGTATAGGTCAAGAGAAATGATTTATGGTTTAATGAAAAAGAATATGAGGCTCTTGGTATGGATCTGCTTTTTAGCCATGAGATTTGGCCAAATCACTTAATTTTCTGAGCCTGTTTCCTCATCTGCAAAAAGGGAAAAAGTACCACTCACCCTCACATCTCTAAGAGTCATTATTGCTGGGTATGGTGGCATATTCCTGTAATCCTTGCAACTGAGGAGACTGAGGCAGGAGGATTGCAAGTTTGAGACTAGCATGGACAACTTAGTGAGTCCCTGTCTCAAAATAAAAAGGGCTGGGGATGTATTTCAGTGATGGAACACTTACTTAGCAAGTGTGAGGGCCTGGGTTCAATCCCTAGCACTGCAAAAAGAAAAGGAGTTATTAAGAGAGGCTCAGTTAGGGCTGGGGACGTGGCTCAAGTGGTAGCGCGCTTGCCTGGCATGTGTGCGGCCCAGGTTCGATCCTCAGCACCACATACAAACAAAGATGTTGTGTCTGCTGAAAACTAAAAAATAAATATTAAAAATTCTCTCTCTCTCTCTCTCAAAAAAAAAAAAAAAAAAAAGAAAGAAAGAAAGAGAGGCTCAGTTAACACATGTGAAATGGCCATAGAAACTGTAGAGTACTTATCAGGTGACTGTAAATGACAAGTGCTGTTAGAAAGCCAGAAGCACCTCTCCATGAAGCAGGCAGCAAGTTAAATGGATAGATGGCTACATCCCTGGGAGCTTATGTAGTACCACACCTCAGGGGGCAGCCATGAGTAGCCTTCAGCAATTAATTAATGATGGATTAAAACTCTGAAATCTCCCAGGTAGTATATGTGCTGTAATTGGTGTGAGCTGGGACTCTCTTGAACCCCTTTAGATGGAGCATTTCTTTGTTACCAAAAGAGTTTCTTATAAGATGGTTCATCCTGGGTGAGCTCATGGCTTACCTTCAGTGAATTTTTATAACTGGTATCTGAGGTAAGTCACCCAGCTTGTGGGTCAGCCCTGGAGTGTTGTGGTATGGGAGGAACGCATCAGGTTTTTTGTGGCTGCTTGGTTTTTCTGTGTCTAGAATCTGGATTCTCCTTGCTGGTTGGGTTTCATTCAGTTGCTCAAGCATAGGTCTAGGGCCTGTCATATGCTGGTGCTGTTCTCAAAGTGGGGGCTCATGTGTCAACAAGAAGGCAGAGAAGCACCTTGCTTCCATGGAGCTTATACTTTTTTTTTTTTTTTTAAACACATTTTTAGTTATAGATGGACAAAATGCCTTTATTTTTTTTGTTTATTTTTTTATGTGGCACTGAGGATTGAACCTACTGCCTTACATGTGCCAGGCAAGCGCTCTACCACTGAGCCACAACCCCAGCTCCAGAGCTTACACTCTTGTGGGGAAGGTAGACAATACATAAGTACACAAGTAAACCATAGAACATAGGAGTGCTGAGAGAAGCAGGGTGAGGGAATAGAATGGTTGCAGGTGGCAGGAGGGCTTCTCTAAGGAGGTGTCATTTGAGCAGGGACCTGAGGGATACGAGAGGATAAACCATACCCAGATCAAGGGTTAGAACATTCTAGGAGAGAGAACAGCAGTATAGTTCTGAATGTGATATCAGCAAACTTAAAAAATTTTTGTATTACCAAAAAAAAGTTCAAAATCCAGCAGGTATAGAAGGTTATATTGGTTGCCCTCCAACCTCTGTGCCTAGCTACCTTGGTTCCTCCCCTTAATAATTTTTTGAATACAGGTATGTTCTCTTTACATGTTTTAAAAAATTTTTTTGTAGTTGTTGTTGGTCCTGTATTTTTTATTCATTCATTTACATGCTGAGAATCGAACTCAGTGCCTCAGGCATGCTAGGCAAGCGCTCTACCCCTGAGCTAAGGCCCCAGCCCCCAAATATTCTTTTAAACAAAATGATAGCACACAGTGGGGCTGGGGATGTGGCTCAAGTGGTAGCGCACTCGCCTGGCATGCGTGAGGCGCTGGGTTCGATCCTCAGCACCACATAAAAATAAAATAAAGATGTTGAGTCCACCGAAAACTAAAAAATAAATATTAAAAAATATTAAAAAAAAATAATAGCACACGGTACATACTTTTCTTCTTTCACGTTTTTTAGTCTTAGATTTTGTCCCAGAACAGCATATAGTTTGTAATTACATAATATATATACCTAGTCCTCTGTTGATACAATGCTACAGTGAATAACTTGTATGTGTGTCATTTTGTAAATGGGCAAGTGAAATTCAGCAGCTTTGATTTCACAAGCATATCCATTTTCTCAGGGTGGCAAATCGCCCTTGCTCCCCAGTAACTTTGGGTATCTTATGAAGCATAAAGTCTCTGAGGTTTTTTAGTTGGGTACCTCTGTGTGCCTTCTGGGTTGGATAATGAGCTCTGTGTTGTCTAGAATTAACTATTTTGAGCTTTACTTTCATATTCATAGTGTGTAGCATGGTGCCTGCTGTTTGGTCATTGCACAGCAGGCATTTATGGACTTAATGAAAGAAAGTCAGGGCAGATAAGGAGTATATGAGACAGGACCCTTGTTTTTCTCCTGCATGGCACCTGTCTCACTGAAATTATGTATTCACTTGTGTCTATATTTGTTTAATATCTTTTTCTTCCTCAGTTCTATCTTGTTCCCTGTATGTCTTGTTCCCTTTTGTCTGAGTCAGAGTAGGCACTTAAAATATTTATTAAATAAATGCTAGCATAATTAAAGGGCCTAGAGGGGGAGAATCAGGATGGAGTTGAATGGAAGAGGCCAGGATCTAAGGACCTGAGGAAGGTCTCTGGCAGACGGTGAGGGTCACAGGACCTCCACTTCCTTATCACATCCTGACCCATGTGTTTCCCTGTCTTGGCAGGTGGAGGTACAGTGCCTTCTCCTGCTGGAGGTGCTGGGTGGCTCCCACAAGCATGCCGTGAATGGTGCTGTGAAGAAGCTCACTAAGCTGTGGAAAGAGGTGGCAGGGCTGGCAGGAGGTGGCTGGCAATCCTTTTTCCATGTCCTTGCTGCCATTTGAGACATCTGACTTCTGCTTTCTTGTTCAGAACCCCGGGCTGGTGGAACAGTACTTGTCAGCCATTCTTAGCCTAGAACCCAACCAGAACTATGCTGGCATGCTGGGTCTGCTGGTACAGTTCTGCACAAGCCACAAGGAAATGGATGTGGTCAATCGGCACAAGGTAAGTGCCAGGCACAGTGACAGTGGGTATTGTTTTGCTTTTGTGGCCTGAGCTGTTGGTCTCATCTCACATTGTTGGTTTTCTCACATGAGACCTTGGCCTTTTGCCATAATAACGAACTTCAGGGAATTGGAAAGTTTTCCCTGTAGTCTAGCTTGTGGTGAATCCTGGTGTAATTATTAGAATGGTAGTTTGCTTGTTCATGCAGGCATTTATTCACCTCCATTGAGCAGTGGCCATGTGCCAGAACTGCCAGGTGCTGGGGATGCAGCAGGGAGTAAGGGAGCTATGATTCCTGCAGAACTGAATCTGAAAAGGAATCTTACAGTAGGTGATGAGCATCTAGATAATCATAACTGTGATAAATGCTACCAAGGAAAAGTGTGAGAAGCTGTGACACTTGCATTGGGGGATCCTGACTAGGCTGTGGGCCAGGGAACACATCTTGGGTGAAGGAACTTTGAGGGTGGAAGAAGAGTTAGTAGGTGAAGAGGTGAGGAAGAGCAGAGAAGTCAGCTGGTGGGGGGAGCATTGAGGCTGATGCGGTTGGAGTGGCAGGTGTGGGTGAGAGAGGTGCAAGGTACAGCCTCTTGGGAGCAGGCAGGGTCTTATAAGCTATGCCACCGTCTTTGGATTTTATCCCAGGAGCCATGGAGAACCTTGGAGGGCTTCTAAATGGATTGGAATGATCAGTGGGACCCTGTGCTTACCACTGAGATTTTGGGGTACTGATTTGTGTTTTTGGGGGCTCCTTCAAGAGGATCTACACTGTAGGCCAGACACTTTTAAAGGGCCAGGGTCCATCCAGATCTTTATGTCCTCTAGAGTGCCCTGCTGGATTTCTACGTGAAGAACATTCTGATGAGCAAAGTAAAGCCTCCGAAGTACCTGTTGGTGAGTGGGTGGTGTACCTTACTCGCCTGGACAAACCTCAAGTCCCATTTTAAATTCTAGGACACAGCTCTGCCCTTTATTCTATTCCTATTCCCATGAGGGCTGGGTGTCTTGACTCCTTTTTTTTTTGTAGGATAACTGTGCCCCTCTGCTCCGGTACATGTCCCACTCAGAGTTTAAGGATCTGATTCTGCCCACCATCCAGAAGTCCTTACTCAGGAGTCCAGAAAATGTTATTGAAAGTAGGTTCCAGCTGAATAGGATGATGGGAGGGGCGAGTTGCTGCATCAGCTCTACTCCTGATGATTGGCAGCAGCAGGCATATGCAAGTTGGGAGTGGGAGATGTATTTATTCACTGTTACCTCTTTGGGACCTTGGGAGAGAGATCAGGGATCCTTTTCAGAATATGCTGAAAGTCATGGACTTTCTTGTTGAAAGAACACACAAAAACATATCCACTTAGAATGCTGCATATGATTTTAGTGATTTAGGTTCATTCAGGTTAAGAAACTCTTCTCCAGACAGTTTGGACTTAGTGTAAAGGTGTCACTTGAAACAATAAAGCGTGAGGGTTGAGTCTGTCCCTGACTCAATTGGTAACGTATTGTTAGAATGTTGGAGGGGAGATTTTTTGCTAATTGGGATGGGATCACATACAACTTTTCAGCAGAGCTTTGGTTCAAGGGTGTGACTACTCTTTTATCCCTGTAGAGATGAAGGTGGTCATGTTTACATGTGGCTAGAGAGCAGACCTGGTGGCATTTGCTGGGGAGTAGGGCAGAACAGTTCTTGATCCTTGAGACTCACCTGAAAATGGTTTCTCTCCCCTTAGCCATCTCCAGTCTGCTGGCATCAGTGACGCTTGACCTTAGCCAGTATGCCCTGGATATTGTGAAAGGCCTGGCTAGTGAGTATCCAGAACTCTGGCAGGCCCCTCAGTGTACCTTGGATTTTCGTTGTATTTGTTACATTTCTTGTTGAAAAGGGAGTAGGGGTCAGCTCAGGTTAGAATTAAGACTTCAGCTGGGCACGGTGGTGCATGCCTGTAATCCCAGCAGCTTGGGAGGCTGAGACAGGAGGATCACAAGTTCAAAGCCAGCCACAGCAAAAGCTAGGCACTAAGCAACTCAGTGAGACCCTGTCTCAATAAAATACAAAATAGGGTTGGGGATGTGGCTCAATGGTTGAGTGCTGCTGAGTTCAATCTCTAGTATCAAAAAACCAAAAAAAATAAGACTTTAGCCTCCTACATAAGCAGGGTTTCTTTCTTGAGGGCTCTAATGCAAACAGATAATGAGTGAAGAGCTGGGAGCCTAAGACTAACACACTAAAGTATGAATGTTCAGCTGTCTGCAGCCCTTGAGCAGTGACTCTGTGTGTCTAGATCAGCTGAAATCCAACAGTCCCCGCTTGATGGACGAAGCTGTGTTGGCACTGCGCAATCTGGCCCGCCAGTGCAGCGATTCCTCAGCCATGGAGGCCCTGACCAGGCACCTGTTTGCGATCCTTGGAGGTAAGCAGGCCTTCTTTGCCCTGGGAATGGCTGAGGTGTGACCCCAGCATTCCCTGGGACCCCAGATCTGGTGGGAACTTGGTTCTGAGTCTGCTTGTGACAGGACCATGTGGCCATGGGGACACTGAAGTGTGCATGTATGACGTGAGCAAAAGTACACTCAAGGAAGTGTAGATGGGTGATCTTAGTGTTTTTAAGTATATATTCTTCTGTAGGCATTGCAAAAAATAAAAAATAAAAAACCAACTAAAGGAGATATATCAAGGTATTAACAATGTCTTTGAGTAGTGGGAATGTGGGTAATTTAATAATTTTTTTTTTCATAGTTTTTGCTTCTCAAATTATTTTCTAAGAACATACTATTTTTTTTAGTCTGAGGCTAGTAAATGTTATCTTAAACCCAGTTTTACACCAGAAAGGCTCCATTTGGAGTCTGTAATGTATCATATGTCACCTCATGACTGCACTGTTGCTGGGAAGTGTGGCTGATGTGAACTTAATCCTTTGCTTCTCTCCTCTCAGGCTCGGAGGGAAAGCTAACTGTTGTAGCCCAGAAGATCAGCGTCCTCTCAGGTATGGGATTTCTCTCCAGGCCCTAGAAATGTGGTGCAGTATTGGGTGAAGTCTAACATATCCTTTGAGCAAGCCAAATCCCTTTTTGGATCCTGACATCTCTGGCTGTCTTGACCAGGCCAGTTTGCCTCCCAAGACTCTGCAACCTGGCCAGAGGCTTGGCTGCTATAAAACTCAGCACTGTGAATTGAGGGAGGGTCAGTAATAGAGGAGAGGCATGGCTGCTGGGGAATCTGGTGGCAGTGGCAGGAAGACTTGCCTGATGTGGTTTCTGCAGTCAAGAGGGCTAAGCAGGGAATCTGCCTTTCAGGGATTGGAAGCGTCAGTCATCATGTGGTGTCTGGGCCTTTCGGTCAAGTCCTGAATGGGACCGTGGCTGAGCTGTTCATCCCATTCCTCCAGCAGGAAGGTAATTCTGTGCAGCATGGGGAGCATGAGGTCTGGACTCATCCTCAACTGTGGTTTTCCACAGTGGGAGCCTTCCATAACTACCTCCTGAAGGCACACCTCTTTCGGCTGGGAGTAGTCTGAAGTATCTTTGCTTCCTCCCCTTAGTATTCTGCTGGCTTGCTTTCTTGTGTGGCTTGCAGTGATTTGACATGGTTATAACATATCAGACTCTTGGGACTTTGTTTCTTTCTCTAGTTCATGAAGGTACTTTGGTTCATGCTGTATCTGTCCTGGCTCTCTGGTGTAACCGGTTCACTACGGAAGTACCCAAGAAGCTCACCGACTGGTTCAAGAAAGCTTTCAGCCTTAAAACTTCCACCTCTGCAGTGCGGCATGCCTACCTGCATTGTATGTTGGCCTCCTTCCGAGGTAAGATGCTGCCTGTGGGCTAGAGTCCAAGCCTCCTGCATAGGGGTGACTGAGTCTTCAGGGTATTATCACCATCCTAGGCTTTCCCTGATGGTTCAGTTTGTTCTGTATCATTTCCTCCTGTGCCTTTGGACCTCTTGGTCATCTATAAATCCAGAATCAGAGCCCAATCTTCACAACTCCTGGCTCCTCCCCTTATCAGACTTTCAAGTCCAGAGGTTTATTCTGAGAGAACTCATATTCAGAACTTGTCATTTCAATGTCTGAGATCATGGAGAAAGATCATAAGACTGATTTAAAAGGTTCATCTTCACATAAACTTTACTCTGAATCTAGCTCACCCTTTAGTGATGTTATGGGCATCCATTCTGTCCCAAGCAGACCTAGGAGAAAGTTGTGTAGGAGTTTGATCCACAATCAATCTATCTAATGATGATTTGTGTCTCTGAGATAGGCTTGTATTTAAAAAAAATTTTTTTTTGTAGTTGTAGATGGACAGAATGCCTTTATTTTATTTGTTTGTTTTTATGTGGTGCTGAGGATCGAACCTAGTGCCTCACACATGCTAGGCAAGTGCTCTGCCTCTAAGCCACGGCCGCAGCCCAAGCTTGTATTTTTTAAATTATTTTTTTATCTTTTGTTATTAGGGGTGCTTTAGCACTGAACTACATCCTCAGCTCTTTTTATTTTTTATTTTGAGAAAGGGTATCACTAAGTTGTTGAGGCTGGCCTTGGACTTGTGATCCTCCTGCCTTAGCCTACATGCTGGGATTACAGGTGTGCACCACAGCACTCAACATAGGCTTGTGTTTCTTTTAAATTATGTTCATTTTAAATTTATAATGAGTTGTGTTTGAAGAAGTATCTAAGAGATTCTGGAACCTCCCTTAGAGAGAAGATACTTTTCTGTGTAAAATGTATCTGGACTGATGAACTTTGTATCCACACATCTCTTAATGATTAGGGAAAAAGAATGTGACAGAAGAGATTTTTGCATTAAGTTGAGAGCAGTAATCTTTTCCTGAAACACATCTCCAAGCTCATCATAAATCGTCTCCTGTGGTGGTTTGTGAGGTTTATGCAAAGCCACAGATAATGCTGATTGAAGTCATAGATTCCTGTGGATGTCAATGTACAATTAGTACATTGTCAGCTACCTTAGGGATATAATGGGCTCATATCTTTACATGTATAAAGTATATATTTAAATATCAGTTTGCATTTTTGCTGTATTGATCAGCCTTGATTTTTAGATTGACTTGTTGATGGTAGAGACTGACTTGGTTTAACCTTGTCTCTTCAGCTTGAGTTAGTTCTGCAAGTAAACATAGGACTGGGGATGTAGCTTAGTGGTAGAGCACTTGACTAACATGTGCGAGATCCTGGGTTTGATCCTCATCCTGCAAATAAAAAAAAATATAAATCATTAGAATAATCATTTTTTGGATTCAAATGCATGATATTATAATGGTTTTACTATGACATGTTCTGATGTACTCAGCTAGTAATTATGAAAACAAGAATTTAGCTATAGTTTGAATTGGCTTTTTCCTTTTTTTTTTTTTTTTTAAAGAGAGAGTGGGAGGGGGAGAGAGAGAGAGAGAGAATTTTTTTAATATTTTTTAGTTCTCGGCGGACACAACATCTTTGTTTGTATGTGGTGCTGAGGATCGAACCCAGGCCACATGCATGCCAGGCGAGCGCGCTACCGCTTGAGCCACATCCCCAGCCCCTGGCTTTTTCCTTTTTAAAAAATGGGTTTAATTTATAGATCAGCAGACTAATCTGGTTTTGGAATTTGGATCCAGGGGTCATCTGGTATAGGGAGAGCACCAGACAGAAACTGATAGATTTGAAGTTGGTGCTGGCTCTGTGTCAACTAGCTGTGTGACTTTGGGCAATTCACTTAATCTCTGTTCCAAATCCATCAGGTGAATGGCTGGATAGTTGGATTAATGAGGATCCTTCTATGTCTGAATTTGTGATTATAAAGTTTGAAATGAGCTCAGATTCTAATTCCAATTGTCTGTAATGTTGGATTTTGATGGGGTGGGTAGTACTGGTCCAGTTCTTTAGAGATATTTGACAAAATCCTTCCCCCACCCCCCCCAGTACTGGGGATTGAACCCAGGGGTGCTTTACTGCTGAACTACATCTCTAGCCCTTTTTATATTTTATTTTTTGAGGTAATGCTGAGTTGCTAAAGCTGACCTCAAACTTGCAATCCTCCTGTATCAGCCTCCTGAGTTGCTGGGATTATAGGTGTGCACCACCATACCCAGCTAGATACTTGACAAATTAATCGAAGGGTTTTAAGTCATCAGGCCTACACCTTGGTGTATAACTCCTTTCTCAAGTGATCTGGTCAGCTCTGGAGGTCAGGATGTTCCTTAAAGTGTATGTCCTCTCTCCATAGGTGACACGCTGTTGCAGGCCCTGGACTTGCTGCCCTTGCTCATCCAGACAGTGGAGAAGGCAGCCTCCCAGAGCACTCAGGTTCTGACAGTCACTGAAGGTGCTGCTGCAGCCTTATTACTCTCAAAGCTTTCGGTGGCTGACTCACAGGCTGGTAAGGGTCCAGAGATGTCCAGACTCTTTTAGTGTCCTTGGGATGAGTGCCTTGATGTTTAGGATCAGCTCATCAGTTGCAGGGCTGCTTGCCACCTGCAAGAGTGGGGATACAGCCAGGGGACATTGTCACTGTTCTCCCTTGCTCTGGGACATGGATTTGTAGATAATGCCCAGAAAGACCTGCTTAGTATTGGAACTTTTTTTGTCTTACCTTCTTATGTATTCATTGGGTAAAAAATTCAAAAAGTACAGAAGTGTATAATGTGAAAGTTTCTCCATATCCTTTTCTTCCAGCCACCGTTTCTCCCTTTGGACAACATTGCCAGTTTTATGTCCAGATACAGTCAATGTGTAATGAGACATGCTGGGTGACATACCATATACATCATATTATATCCTGAGCTTATCTTGTAAATAATTCCAAATCAGAAGGACAAAAAGATGCTCCTCATTCTTTTTTTTTTGTGGCTACCTAGTTTTTCATGTCTATTTTCTTCCCCCCCGCCCAGTACTGGGGATTGAACCCAGGGCCTCGTGCATGCTAGGCAGGTGCTTTTCCACTGAGCTATATCCCCAGCCTATGTTCTATGCTTTCTTTAGTCCACCTTTATATTTGATTTCTATCCCTTAATCAGCTTAAAGGAGGGAAGATTTATTTTGGCTTACAATTTTGGAGGTTTTAGTCCATGGTTGGTTGATCTGTTGCTTTTGCCTATGGTGAGACAATTATATTATGGCAGAGAGCAAAGCTTATGTGTAGAGCAAAGCTGCTCACCTCAAGGTAGCCAGGAAGCAAAGAAGGGATAGAGGAGATCCGGGGACCCAATATCTCCTTGAAGAGCATGCCCTCAGTTGCTTAACTTACTTCCACTATGAGGGATAGTGAAATCTCCTGAAGGTTCTGTCATCTCCCAGTAACACTCCAGATCCAAAGTATAGCAACCTGTCATTCTGTATGTGCACATGCCTGAACTTGTTTCTGTGGTGAGAAATGGAATTCAGCTCTCTTGATATGTTATTGGGTGCCCACTGGGTGTATGCCAAGACCCTGGGCTACCTGGAGGATGCAAAGATGAACATGACCTCTCTTCTGCAAATTTTAGGGTGCTTATTACTGTATGGCAGGAGCAGGGAGATGCAAAAATACCTGTGTAGTTTAACACAATATGTGGCATTAGAGCAATTTTGAAGGAGAGATTGCTTTTAATTTAGGGGATGGGTGTTGGGAAATCCTTCAGAAAGAGGAAACATTTGAGCTAGAGCCCCAAGGGCCTGGAAAGATTTTATTCTCTCATGAGGGAATGTGTGAGTCCAAACAACCCCAGTCAAGGTTGGGCAGGGAAAGCCACAACGTGTGAACCTCAAGTATTCCAGCTTGGTGTCTGGGTAGGTGGAATTTCAGATGACAAGCAGCTTGCCCTGGCTTCTGTGGGCAGCAGAGAACCACTGAAGGCTTTTGTACAGGAAGCAGTGCCAGAAGGACTGAGGTTAGTCCTCAGAACAGGAGAGCAGTGAGCCTAGGAGTAATTCACCCCCGTTAGGTCCTTTACAGATCCTGCTCGGCAGCTTCAGAATGGAGGGGCCCAGTCCTGGGGAATATGGTGCACTGCATTATGGGGTGACTATTGGTTTCTTGCAGAGGCCAAACTGAACAGTTTTTGGCAGCTGGTTGTGGATGAGAAGAAGCAGATTTTCACTTCTGAGAAATTCCTGCTCATGGCTTCCGAGGATGGTGAGTTATTTGGAGATCTCTCAGTGTGTCTTCAGAGTATCCTTCCCTGACCACTTGTTTGGCCAATCAGCTCTGCAGAAACCTAGACTAGAGCAATCAGATCTACAGTTTTGACTGTGGTTGGAATGAACTCATTCCTGTAGGGAGTGTCAGGCTCAGGAAGTGGGGGGACTTTGGTGAATTGTGGAGACATAGCAGTCAGTGATGCTTGTGGAGCTGGGATATTAGCTGTAATTATAGCTGATTGGGTAATTGGTGCTGTCTCGAGTTATGTTAAGAGCAGCTGAGAAGCTCTAGTGGAGTGTGGCAGGCTCTACTCCCCCACCAGGAGACACAGAAAGAAACTACTGGTTTCTATCCTGGCAGAAAAGGAACAGTTGAACTCTAAATGTATATGTAAAATTCTAGGTCGCCTTAAGAGGAATCTGCCACTAATTAGTGATTTGAAAAATCTTTTGACTCACAAATCACAACATCCTATAAATGAGCTACAACTATTAGTCACTTCCCGGCTTTTAAAAAAAATTTAGTTAGCTTTTGATTTGATGGTGTATTCATATAATTCAAAAATAAAAGACAAAGAGGTCTACACTGAAAATCATACCCCTGCTTGGATCTTGGGCTACTCCCTTCTCCTGGCCATCAATCACCAGTGTTATCAGGTGCTTTTTTTTTTTTTTAATTCCCAAACATTTTTTTTTAGTTGTAGTTGGACACAATACATTTATTTTATTTTATTTATTTTTATGTGGTGCTGAGGATCGAACCCAGCGCCTGCATGTGCTAGGCGAGCGCTCTATGGCTGAGCCACAACCCCCAGCCCCATCAGGTGCTTTTGTGTCCTTGGTATTTTATAAATACACAAGTAAATAACTTTATATGCTAGTTCTCTATTTTCTTTTACACAAATGGTAGTCTGCCTGCTGTATACACTGTGTATCCTAGGCTTGGAAATGAGTTCATGTCCAATATATAATCAGCATTCTCGTTCTTTTTTAGAACTGCTTGGTAGGGCTTGGTAGAGTGCTTGCATGGGATGCACAGGGCCCTGGGTTTAATCCCCAGCACCCCAAACCAAATAAAACAAAACACAAAAACACCAAAACTGCATAGTAAATCAGTCAATCAATCTATCTATCTATCTATCTGTTTATTTATTTATTAGTACCAGGGATTGAACGGTGCGGGGAGGGTGGCGCTTGATCACCAAGTTACATCCCCAGACCTTTTTTATATTTTATTTAGAGACAGTCTTCACTAAGTTGTTTAGGACTTTGCTAAGTTGCTGAGGTTGGTTTTAAATTTGCAATCCTCTTGCCTCTGCCTTCTGAGCTGCTGGTATTACAGTCATGTGCCACTGCATTTGGCTAGTAATTTTTAATTACTGAAAAAAGTGTATACTTTTCCACATTCTAAAATGCACTTGTCTATAATAAGCAAAAAGAAAGAAATATAAATGAGCTACAATTTCACATCCAGTGATAATCATGTTTACATTTTGGTGTTAATTTTCCAGTTCTTTTTGAGTGCATATATGCATATGTGTGTACACATGCCTGTTTTAAAAACTGTTTCTTGTCTATTTCAGCCCTGTGTACTGTGTTGCATTTGACAGAGAGACTTTTCCTTGATCACCCACATAGACTCACCGGCAACAAAGTTCAGTATGTGAAGCTTGCTTATCTTGTCCCTTTGGCCAAACAAGGCAAACCCTGGCAGGAGTCTGAGAAGTGGGGTGTGTAAGAGGGCTGGCTGTAGAAAACCCTGCTCCCTAACCTCTCAGAACCATTTGCCCCTTTGCTTGCAGGCAGTACCACCGTGCCCTGGTGGCGGTACTCCTGAGCCGCACCTGGCATGTCCGCAGGCAGGCTCAGCAGACAGTTCGGAAGCTGCTGTCCTCTCTTGGGGGCTTTAAGCTGGCCTATGGACTCCTGGAGGAGCTGAAGGCTGTCCTTAGTTCTCATAAGGTGAGGACATCTGGACCCTGGAACTGGGCCACTTGAACCCACTCAGCCAACCCTGCTTATGCCCTGGGGTTTTGGCTGGGCGACTCCTGGGCTGTTGTCTCACTCAGATCCTGTGTGATGCTAGAACCTTCTATCCTGCCCCCAAGCTGTGGTAACATCTTTGAACTTCTTTTTCTTTTCAGAGTCTCTTCTTTCCCTTCCCGTGTCTCCACCTATTGGGGATTAAACTCAAGGGTGCTCTACCTATGAGCTATATCCTTAGCCCTTTAAATTTATTTTTAGTTTTTATTTTGAGGCTGGGTCTTGCTCAGTTGCTAAGGCTGACCTCGAACTTGGCAGTCCTCCTGCATCACCAAGTTGCTGGGATTAGAGGTGTGGGCCTTGTGCCTAGTCCATGCCTTTTTTTTTTTTTTCCTGTGATGTTGAGGATTGAACTCAGGGTTTTACACATACTGGGCAAGTGCTCTACGACTGAGCTACATCCCCAGTCTCCTATCCCTTTTTTCCCCTTAGCCCTTTAAAAAAATTTTAATTTTTGGATAGCGTCTTGCTAGCTTTCTCAGAATGGCCTTGAATTTATGCTTTCATGCTTTGGCCTCCTGAGTAGCTGGGATTACAGGTGTGTGCTGCTATTTCCAGCTTTCTTCATGCCTTTAGACATGCAGCTCTACCTTTTTCTCTTTGGATGTTTTCACCTCTATGCTTTTAAAGCACTTAATGATTTTTAAAGCATTTTTTACCCATTCTCCCTTTGATTTTTCACAGGACCTATCAAGGCAGTTGGGATTAATAACTCTTGTTTTGTATGAACTCTCCAGGGTTCCAGGAGCTGAAATGATCTGCCTGGGTCTCCTAGCCAGTGAGAGGAAGACCTCTTTAGGGGAGACCCCAAGGGCCTGACTCCTATTGCATGCTCTTTATCTGTGCTTCACTGCTTTTCTCCCTAAGCTTGTTGGAGGCATGTGGGCGGTCTTACGCCAGGTCTCCTGAACTAATTTTCATTTTCTTTTTCTGAAGGCTTTTTAGGTGCATAGTCACAGGTGCTTTACCTTTCCAGGCACAGCTCACAGCCTGAAGTTTCCAGTGAAAGAAGCTGGGCATTAGTCCCCACTCCATCAGGGACTCCAGAGAACAATAGGAGTGAGAGGCATGGTGTCCCTGGCATATTGTATCCTGGATGCCAGGCCTGCACAGGTCTCTGAGCAGTAGGGACTTACATGTTGTCTCCACACAGGTGCTGCCCTCAGAGGCTCTGGTGACTGATGCTGGGGAGGTGACTGAGATGGGAAAGGCCTATGTGCCTCCACGGGTCCTGCAGGAGGCTCTGTGTGTCATTTCTGGTGTGCCAGGGCTTGAGGGTGACATCACTAACACTGAACAGCTGGCCCGGGAGATGCTGATCATCTCCCACCACCCATCCTTAGGTCTGTGGCCATGGTTGGTATGGGAGAGATAGGGGCTCTGTTGGGCAGGTTGAGAATAGGCTGGGCAGAAAGCTTCAAAGAGCCCTGTCCCCTTCAGTGGCAGTACAGTCTGGACTCTGGCCAGCACTTCTCGCCAAGATGAAGATTGACCCTGAAGCCTTCATCACCAGGCACCTAGATCAGATCATTCCCAGGATCACCACACAGAGTCCCCTAAACCAGGTGATGCATGCATGAGCTGGTTCTGGCCTGAGGTTGGAGATGGGGGATGGACTTCCCTTCTATGGTGCAAGAAAAAGAGGGCTCAAAGAAACAAGAGGAGGAGTCGTGAAATATGGGCTTGAACTCTTGGTTATATGTTCCAGAAAATGCAAACTGGTTTAAGCAGAAAGAGGGACTTAATGTTTCATATACCTGCACAGTCCAAGGATGTGACTAACTTGCTACAAGGACTCAGCAGTGGTACCTTGGTACTCAGGTACCATTGGATGGCGTGGATGTTGTGTTTCTCACTTTGATCCATCTGTCTCTTACCTCTGCTTTCTATGCTGTGAAATCCACTCTCAGTTTTTCTTTTTCTGGTGGCAAAAGAACTAGTTCCAGACTTCTTGTCCCTCTGATGGCTCCAGTGGGAAAAGCATGTCTTTTCCAGTAATGTCAACTGGCATGGGGTCTCATTGCCTCCAGTAGATCTGATGGAGGTCCTGTGCTCATCCCCAAGCTTGTCTTTCTGGTCTGGGTCATGTGCCTACCTCTGGAAAGGGTGAGCACAGCTCCACCTGGTCCATGTAGATTCAGAATGTGAAAAAATTGTATCCCCAGGGTCAGACTATTACTCTGCTATTACCAGACTGAGGGGTAAATGCTAGCTGAGTTAGGCAGGTACTACAGTCACCTGCTCTGGTGGACAGTGCTCAGAAAGAAAAAGCAGTGGCAAGAAGAAAGGGAGCCAACTGCCAGGGCATGTAAGCATGGCAAACCCTCCTCTCATGCCAGCTCTGACTGTGTCTATATGTGTCCTTCAGTCTTCCATGAATGCCATGGGTTCCCTTTCCATCCTGTCCCCGGACCGGGTCCTCCCGCAGCTCATCAGCACCATCACAGCCTCTGTGCAGAACCCTGCACTACGCCTGGTGACAAGGGAAGAGTTTGCCATCATGCAGACCCCTGCTGGGGAGCTGTACGATAAATCCATCATCCAGAGGTGAGCGAGCTATGCTTGTGGGTTCAATCGCCTTTCTACCCCAACTCCTAGTTTTCTTGCTAGGAAACATTATGGAGATACCACTTCCTTTGTGGGGTTATTGTGAGGAGCAAATAAAACCTACTCATCCATTGGGCAAAAATCTGCTGTATTCCAGATCTGGCACTTAGGCCTTGGATACCAGAGTGTATGTAACCTCTGGTGCTGTCCTGGCACACAGTACCTGGGATTGCATGGCTGGCAGGAGGCTGAAGGGACTAGCGGCTCTTTTGCGCTGACTTATACCTCTCTGTTTCAGTGCCCAGCAGGACAGCATAAAAAAAGCCAACATGAAGCGAGAGAACAAAGCTTACTCCTTCAAGGAGCAGATCATTGAGCTGGAGCTGAAGGAGGTAAGTCCAGGAGGCACTTCAATGTGGCTGCTGAAACTGAGCTTGGTGGTCTCTGTCTGCTGGCTTTCTCTGCTGCACATAGACTGTTCCCTGGATCATCCTCCAGGCTCATTGCACACTCCCCACTTGTCCTAGCCAGCTTCTTCTGCCCCCCACCCTCAAAGAAAATGTGTTAGTTTCTCACCTGTTTCTGTAAAGTCTGGATCCTGTCTTGAGCCCTAACAGCAGGCACAGGCCTGTCCAGTGGAACCTGTGGGGAATCCTGGTCGATTGGCACATTCAGTTTTGAACAGCTGGTTCTGGTGTGAACAGTGTACAGGTGTCACCCTCACCTGTCTCAGACTGTGCTTTGCCCACAGTCTTTTGTAGGCTGAGTTCTTTTCATCTTTTATATCTCAGCCCACCTGGGCCTTTCTCAGGGAGGCTACCTCCCACCCCGCCCTCTATCCACCTAGCTGTGGTGTAGGCCCTGCTCTCTTCCCAGTTTACATTAGACTCACTTCTTTCATACTATTTCTCATGCTCCACAGGCCTTGTGTCTAGTATTTGTTCATTTGTTTCTTGTCTGCCTTCACCTGCAGATTGTGAGCTCCACAAGGGCAGGGACTTCATCTCTTGCCCCTGGTATCCCTAGCATCCTGAACAGTGCCTGGGGCATGATGTCAGTGCTCACTAAGTACTTGCTGAAAGAGGGAGTGATGATTTCTCTGCCTGGTCATCTCTGGCTACCTGAGCGGCTTTGCCCAGGCTTCAGTTTATGCTGTTGGCAGGATCTGGGCCCAAAGGGAGGCTGAAGTTTTGAACCTAAATCCATGTGATCATCAGAATTGGCTTTGGAGTACATTGAGGGACCTTTTATTTCTTTATCTTATCAGAAGTCCTCCTTGCCTTTGTTAGCAGAGAATCCAGTTTCAAAAAAAAAAAGAAAGAAAGAAAAAGAAAAAAACCTGCTTCTCTACCCCGTTTTAATTATGGAAACATCAAGTGACTGTCGACGTTATAGGGGATGAGGGAGGCTGCATGATGGGCTCCGGGGCTCCAGTCACAGACGTGGAGCTGTCCTGGTGTTCTCTTTGGAAGCAGGTTTGCCTTCCCCTGGTAGGGAGGCAGGTCTGTTCCCTGGAGATGGAATTGGTTTGCTAACCCTGACCCTTCAGGAGATAAAGAAGAAGAAAGGTATAAAAGAGGAGGTGCAGCTGACTAGCAAACAGAAGGAGATGCTGCAGGCCCAGCTGGACAAGGAGGCACAGATCCGGAGGCGGCTGCAGGAGGTAAGTGGCTGCCACCACCACACACCATGACAGGAGGGTGCTGGGCAGCCCAGGCCCATTCCTTGCTGTCCCCCATTGGAGCCTTTCTGACCTGCCATCCTGGGCTACTCTACTTGCAGCTGGATGGGGAGCTGGAGGCAGCGCTAGGACTGCTGGACACCATCCTGGCCAAGAACCCGTCTGGTCTGACCCAGTATATTCCTGTGTTGGTTGACTCTTTCCTGCCCTTGCTGAAATCTCCCCTGGCTGCTCCCAGGATCAAGAACCCCTTCCTGTCCTTGGCTGCCTGTGTCATGCCCCCTAGGCTCAAGGCTTTGGGTTAGTCCTTGTTTGCTGGCTATGGGGATAAGCCCAGCAATTTGGGAGGTGGACTGGGGATGCCCCCTAGTGGTTGTGATGAGGCATGTGGTGACCTACACTGCTGAATTTTGTTTCCACATGGAATCCACCAGTGGATCCTCAAATTGGGTATGTTTACCTCCTCTTTACTCTCAGGATCAAGTTGTAGAGCCTGGCCAGTATCTCATATTTCTGTAGGAGTTTTAAAACTAGGAAGTCAGATGTTCAGTGGTAGTAAGGTTGGTTTGGTACAATGTGTCCAGTCATTGCAGCTCAGAGCTTCTGAGCAGCTATGTGTCAGTAGTGATCAGAGATTTCCTGTTATCTTTAGCCTTTTTTCTTTATTTTCTTTTTTTTGTGGTGCTGGCCTTGTGCATGCAAGGTAAGCACTGTAGCAACTGAGCTATATCCCCAGCCCACCTTTAGCTTTCTGTTAGCTCTGCTCTGAAGAAACAAAGACCAGATAGGGTAGCTTGGAATTATGGTGGCCTAACTTTATGGGTTGTTTACTGACCTTAAGCAGATTTCTTTCCTACCTTAAAAGGGATGGTCCCGTGGGTGAGGCTGAAATCTGCGGATTGTTCTGAGTGGAAAAGTTCATTGGTTGTATGGAAGCTGCCAGAAGCATCACCTGGCTGACAGGGCTTACTGCATAGAAGGTGGTAGCCCCATGTGGCTTGAGTTTTTACTCTTGGTTGAATAACTCTTGCTTATGCTTCTCTCAGCACATTTAGAATTTCTCTAGTGTCAGAAGGGCAGCTCCTTGCTGACCTATTTATCCTGTGTCACTGTCAGAAAAATCAAATGAGAAATTAGGTTGGAGACATTTTGGTGAAGTAGAAGAGCTTATTAATTCAGAGGGAAGAGGTGTTTCTGCTCTGGGTTCCTTGTTTGTGCCAGGGCCAGATGCTGTGTCTTTGTGTGGGCTAGTCCTGCTGGGTCTCTTTGCAGGCACTTTGGTGAGCCACGTGACTCTGCGCATGCTGAAGCCAGAATGTGCTCTGGATAAGTCCTGGTGCCAGGAAGAGCTATCAGTGGCTGTGAAGAGGGCGGTGACACTGCTGCATGTCTACACTATCACCAGCAGGGTGGGCAAGGGTGAGCCAGGTAAGGGATGACATGGAACCCAGGGCTTAGGGCAATGTGATCTGGTGTGGGGAATTCTATAGGAGCCATGGCAGTGTCACTGGGGCTTCCTGAGTCTTGGCCCTGAGTGAGTCTTCCCTCCTCAGCCTTGATTTCCTCATGTGAAAAATGAGGGATTGGACTAGTTGGAGGATTTCAAAGTCCAAGCCTGGTATTCTGTGAGTCTTTGTGACCCTTTTGAGGGTTTGCTTTGGCATCTGCTTCTCTGTTCATTGGCTTTAGTCCTGAGCTGCCAGCCACCATCCCTGCTGTATGCAGGCATCAGGAGAGTCTCCAGCTTTTCCCTGCCCCCCTGCCCTGCTGTGCTCTGTCCACAAGATCATCCTGTCTGCTACTTTCTCTGGCAGATGCTGCACCCTTATCTGCACCAGCCTTCTCCTTGGTCTTCCCGTTGCTGAAAATGGTGCTGACCGAGATGCCCCGCCACAGTGAAGAGGAGGAGGAGCGGATGGCTCAGATTCTTCAGATCCTTACTGTCCATGCCCAGCTGAGGGCCTCACCTAGCACCCCACCTGGACGTGTGGACGAGGTTGGCAGGGAGCTCTGTTCTCCCCTTGTTTTGAGAGGCTTTCTCCGGGGAAGGTGCTTGTGATACTTCTTGACCCATGAATAGTTTTGGTGGGAATGTAGAGGGCATGTGTTTGTATTTACACAGCCACATACATGGTGTGACGGGCTTGCTGTTTCTTTTGTGACTCTGGATTTCTGTCTATGTCAGTGTGTACAGACCTACTTTATTGATTTTACTGACTCTGTGAGATCATATGCTATACACGCATCATGTTTAACTTTTCACTTATTGATAGATATTTTAAGGTTTTTCCTGTTTTGAGCAGCACTATGATGTGTATGTGTGTATATGCCCAGTACAACCAATGTGAACATTTCTTTTTTGGGGGGACTATGGGGGTTTGAACTAAGGGGCACTTGACCACTGAACCACATCCCTAGCCCTATTTTGTATTTTAGTTATAGACAGGGTCTCACTGAATTGCTTAGTGCCTTGCTTTTTGCTGAGGCTGGCTTTGAACTCAAAATCCTCCTATCTTAGCCTCCCAAGCCGCTGGGATTATAGGCGTGTGCCACTGCGCCCAACATGAGCATTTCTATAGGATATATATTGGATGTGGAATCACTGGGGTACATAGCATGTTTTGACTACCCTCTCACTGAGAGTTCCCTTTTCTGCTGGGTGTGATGGTGCATGCCTGTAATCCCAGCAACTGGGGAGGCTGAGGCAGGTGGATCACAAGTTGGGGATGTAACTTAGTGGTAGCGTGCCCTTGCATTCAGTTCCTACTACCAAAAAAAGAAATGAAGAGAAAAATAAAGAATGAGCTTCCTTTTTTTTTCAAACCTAACTCAACCTCAGGTAGCATGAGTATTGCTAACGATGAGTGATGTATTTTATTTTGTTTCTTTACTTGTAAAGGTGTAAGTTCTTCATATACTTATGATCCATCTGTATTTCATAGTCTGTGAATTTCTCAAAAGTTTCAGAATTTATTCATATTTAATTCCTAAGGATCATGGTTGACTGAGGTTAGCACCTGTGGAGTTTGTTGTAAACCTAATGAGGTTTCACAGTGTAGTCAGTTATACGACCCAGAATGTTGTCCTGTGGGTGAGAGGATGCCATTGATTGCCCACCAAGGTTTGGTCATGGACCTTCCCCATAGCCTCACCCCGACTCATATGCTCTTCTCTTCAGAATGGCCCAGAGTTGTTGCCTCGTGTGGCCATGCTGCGTCTTCTGACTTGGGTGATTGGGACGGGCTCACCCCATCTACAGGTAATCTGCTTTTCTTTTGGCTGATGCTGGGACTCAGTTTGTGACCCTGACTTTAGGTCCTAGCATGAATGGTTAGTTCATAGTTCTCTCAGCCCTAACTTTTGAACTTGAGTAAAGCCAGCCTGACTTTCTCAGCTAGTGAGGGGTTTCCCTTGAATCCTGCCACTGGCCTGGTGCCTGAGGTCTTGGGTGGGTGTTCTCAGTTTAGAGCCTTCGCTGGGCACCCCCATCCCATTGCCTGGCCCCTTAGAAAATGATTTGTTGAACTGAACCAGTGGGTTGATATCTATAGGTGCTGGCCTCAGACACCCTGACCACCCTGTGTGCCAGCAGCAGTGGCGAAGATGGCTGTGCCTTCGCAGAGCAGGAGGAGGTGGATGTGCTACTTTGTGCCTTGCAGTCCCCATGTGCCAGCGTGCGGGAGACTGCACTCCGGGTATGTGCCCCCTCCCTCGAGGGGCCACTGCAGCATCCCTTGTCACTTTGCAAGTGTTTGAGCTATAGGATAGGCACTTGAGGGTGGGTTTGGTATGCGTCTAAAAAAATGAAAAGCTAAGCAGATGTGATGTATCACTGTCTGTTTTTTTCTTTACCTTGGAAGACTTTACTTAATTTTGAAGCTGGAATGTGGATTCTGGTATCGTTAAAGGAAGCCTAACTCCCAGCATTAGTGCATTTCCTCACCTGTACAGTGGCTTTTGGACCACAACTCAACAGTCCCCTTGGAATGATGAGACCGGTTCCCAAATGATAATCTGTAGCCTCCTGCTATTTGCATGACAGCGTTTCACTAGCACTTGGCAAAATGTGAAAAAACATGGCAGTGTGGTAAATTATTTTTACAGATTCAATTAACAAAGGGGATACACTTTTTTCTGAGCTTTAATCTGTTTTTTAAATTTAGAGTTAAATTAGGTTTACATTAAAACAATTCTACCACCATACAAGCATCATTTCACAAAAGACAAAAATTTGGGTGTTTGTCTTTTCTGGTGTGGGAATTGATCCTAAGGCTTTGCACATGCTAAGCTTGTGCTATTCCACTGTGCTACACTCCCAAACCTCTCCCCCCACCCCCCTAAAGCTACCTGAGGAGAGACAGAGCAGATAATAATTTGAGCTGATTCTCAGCAATTTCTAGAGCAACAGTGTTTAGTGGAATTTTATGCTGTTTTATGTAGTAGCCACCTGTAGCTATTGAACACTTGAAGTGTGGTGGTTACAACTGAGTAACTTAGTTACTTTTCAAATTGATTTAGCTTTAAATAGCCACATTTAGCTAGTGGTTATGTCTTGGATAGTTCAGCCCAGAGAGGAGCCCAGGGGATGTTGGAGGCTGAGCCTCACATGTCCCACCCCTCCCTCTCCCCTTCCCAGGGGCTGATGGAACTCCATATGGTATTGCCAGCACCTGATACTGATGAGAAGAATGGTTTGAACCTGTTGCGGAGGCTCTGGGTTGTCAAGTTTGACAAAGAGGAGGAGATCCGCAAGTTGGCTGAGAGGTGAGAGCCAGTGGGCGACTGCTTTCTCCTACCCTGTCCTCTCTCCCTTAGGAAATAACCACACCCAGTTTGCTCAGCCTCCAGAGAGAGAAGGACTGGCTGGGGCTGAAGGGGCAGATGCTGCAGTAACTTGTCTGACCAGCCCTGCCCTTGGTCTGCTGCAGGCTCTGGTCGACCATGGGCCTTGATCTGCAGCCAGACCTCTGTTCCTTGCTGATCGACGATGTGATCTATCATGAGGCAGCCGTGAGGCAGGCTGGGGCTGAAGCCCTCTCCCAGGCAGTGGCGCGGTACCAGCGGCAGGCGGCTGAGGTCATGGGCAGGCTCATGGAGATTTACCAGGAGAAACTCTACGTGAGTGACCTGGGCAGCCTGCTGTGGTCTGGGTGGTGTGACGTTATGTTGGACTTTGCCTTGCTCCTGACTACTCTAAAAAGGAGTCTTGGGTCTCATGGTGACTGGTACTGGTTTCCCAGCTCACAGTCATGGTGCCAAGGCCATTGGTCTGCCTGGTTGGGCATTTACCAACTTTTCTATTGCAGCGGCCACCCCCGGTGCTGGATGCATTGGGACGAGTTATTTCAGAATCTCCTCCAGATCAGTGGGAAGCCAGGTATAAATCCTGTTCCGATCTTGTTCTCCTGCAGGCTTTCTGAGGTGTAGCAGGTTGGCTGGGGTGGGTGCCACGAGGAGGCAGCATGTGGCAGTGGGATAAGTGGAGGGAGAGAGCTAGACTGAGTCAGGGAGACTGGAGTTCCAGTGGTGGGTTTTGTGTCACCTGTGTGCCCTTGAGCATGGTCCTCCTTTTCTCCAGGCCTGTTTTCTCACCTGTCTGAAAGTCGCAGTAACAGAACCTGCCTTGCAGGGTATTGAGACTAGTCCGTTGACAGTCTGTGAAGGCTCAGTAAATGTTAGTTTCCTTCCCTTTGGTTCCCATAGATAGCAGCTGGAGGGTTAGGCAGGTGTCTGACAGCAAGTGTGACCTTGGAAGAAATTTACTGCCCACAGAGCAGGCTTCATGAAATATGTGGTCTTGTTGGTTTTCTGAATGACAGGCCCTGCATGCTCCACGCCTGTGCTGTTTTGTGTGTCAGTGGGGAGTGGTGTATAGGCCTATCTCTGTTTCTTTGTTTTTCATTCCAGGCCATCAGCTAGGGATAGGACATAGATTCTTTCTCCTGGTGATCTTCTTACTGCTCTGTAATAGTAAAGAACAACACCACTTTGCCTTGGGAGAATATGATCCCTTTTGAAGGCCTTTATCAGTTTCTTTTAACTTTGTCCTCTGACACCCTGCCTTGGAGATAGAGGGGTGGGCATTGTATTCACATGTGGGGAAACAGGACACCTTGTATCAGGTAAACTCAGGGCAGATGGCTTATCTCCATGCGTTGTTCTAGCACATTGGGCAAGCGCTGAGTTGTGGACTCTGTGCTGTGCCCTGCCTTGCCCTGGAAAGGGTTTTTACTATACTCTGGCTCTCTGTGCTGGCACATATTCCATCAGCACAGGAGGCCCCTGGCTGGCCCTCACCTGCCCACATGCTCCTGCCTTTCCTAGGTGTGGCCTGGCCTTGGCCCTGAACAAGCTTTCCCAGTATTTGGACAGCTCTCAGGTGAAGCCACTCTTTCAGTTTTTTGTCCCTGATGCCCTCAATGACCGAAATCCAGACGTCCGAAAGTGCATGTTAGATGCTGCCCTTGCAACACTCAACGCCCATGGGAAGGTAAGAGGGTTGTGGCTAACTGAGGAGATGGAAATGATCAGTGGGCACAGAGATGCTGAGTGCTAGAAATCCTGGCAGGGCACCAGCCCCTGATGGGAAATTTTATTTATATTTCTTTTGAGCCAAAAAGCCCCCGGGAGGATGTTAAATTCTTATAAGTCTCCTATAGTCCTGCCAGAAAACTGGGAATCCTGCTAGCATCATTGATTGGCTGGCTTGTGAGGATCCCTATCCCAGAGCTAGACTCGGGCTTGGTCATTGGCGAGACTGTCATCCTTACATAGCCCTTAGGGTTGAGCTGTAGCTCTGGGGGACTGGATTTTCCAGGAGAACGTCAACTCGCTGCTACCAGTGTTTGAAGAGTTCCTGAAGGATGCTCCCAATGATGCCAGCTACGATGCTGTGCGGCAGAGTGTGGTGGTCTTGATGGGCTCGTTGGCCAAGCACCTGGACAAGAGTGACCCCAAAGTGAAGCCCATTGTTGCCAAGCTCATTGCTGCCCTCTCCACCCCCTCCCAGCAGGTATCTGCCATCAGGCCTATGGCCCACAAGCCAGCTGGGGAATGGGCACCTGCTGGGGATAGACTGTGGGATGCTAGGGGCTGAGTGGGGAGATCAGCAAGCAGTCGACTCCTCTTCCACAGAGAGCCTGGTTTGTAGTGGAGAGTACCTCTAGGGGAGGGAACTTTGTTCTAGTGGATCTCCTAGGTATTTCATTTCTTTTTATACTCATTTGTTAGTACCTTTTTTGGTGCTTATTATATAGTGATTAAAAAAGTAAAAAATGAGTTTCCTCCATGTCAAGGCGTCTCCTGGCCCTTTCCTTGGTTACATGCACCATGGTGTAAAGCTTTTTTTTTTTTTGGTGCTGGGGATTGAACCCAGGGCCTTGTGCATGTAGCATTTTTTTTTTCTTTTTCTCTTTGACAAAAATGCATTTACATATAAGTTCTGCAATTTTGCATTTTAGGCCAACCAGAATGTCTTCAAAATTTATAACTGGGAACAAATTTCCAAAATTGTGGTCAGATAGTATTAGAAAGCTCAACCTGCAAAAGGGCTGCATGACAAGATTTGCTGATCTTGAGTTAAGCCTTATGAGCTATGACTGGAAGGCAGGAGTCTTTTGGTATCATCCAAATTGGCCCTGGTCCTATAAGGCCCAGCCTGATTTCCCTGTGACCTAAGTTTTGGAAATGGAACACATATACAGGCTATTATATAGAGGCTCAGAAGTTTACTTTTCTCAGATCTATTTTTCTGGGTGGGCCCATCTTTTGGGGTTTCCCATGTCAGTTCTTCATTTAGACTAGAAACAGTACCAGAATGTTCTCGTCACTAATAGGTCATAGTGTGTGCCCTGATGGAGTGCATGTGTGGTATGAGAGTATATGAAATGCTGCTCCTCTGTTGCCTTGTGACATGTGCAGCAGTGGCTGAGATGAGGTTTGGGGTATTGAGTGGTGGGCACTGCATGGGGCTGTTGGGTGCCAGCGACCAGCGTTGTTGAGCTTGAGGCACTGATGAGGTGGGCCTCTTTGATAGGTTCAGGAATCCGTGGCCAGCTGCTTGCCGCCTCTGGTGCCGGCCATCAAGGAGGACGCTGGAGGGATGATCCAGCGGCTCATGCAGCAGCTGCTGGAGTCAGACAAGTATGCAGAGCGTAAAGGGGCTGCATATGGGCTGGCAGGCCTTGTGAAGGGCCTGGGCATCCTCTCTTTGAAACAGCAGGAAATGATGGCAGCACTGACTGATGCCATCCAGGATAAGAAGAACTTCCGCCGGCGTGAGGGTGAGCGTCTCTGAGCTTTGTGCTGCCCACACGGGAAGTCAGTGCCCATTGCTGCCAGAGGAAGGAAGCTGGCATTTCCTTCCCAGCTGATTGGCGGGTGTGTGACCCATCCCAGCCCCATCCTTTCTGGTTTGGCTGGACTTCGTAATTTCTAAGTCAGCAGGACCCTTAGTTGAGAGATGTTTTGCCTTTCCAGTTAATCCCAGGAAGTGATGATGGCTCCCTGCTGTCTTCTCCCCTCCACTCTGCCACATGCCTGCTATGGGTGCTGAGACAGTGATTGCTACACTCTAGTACCATGGCTTCCCTGAGTGTTTCCATAGAGTGAGGGAGCAGGAGGTTACTGGTTCTTTTTGTCTCCTGTGGCAGTCCCCAGAGGACATTCTGTTCCCAGCTGTCTTGCCTTCTGCCCCCAGGAGCCCTCTTTGCCTTCGAGATGCTTTGCACCATGCTGGGGAAGCTCTTCGAGCCTTATGTGGTCCATGTGCTGCCCCACCTGCTGTTGTGCTTTGGGGATGGGAACCAGTACGTGCGTGAGGTAAGTCCCAAGGCTGTGTGGGAGAAGCACGTGAGAACCACTGCTCTCGGGGTGGTTGCTGGGTATGAGCCTTGGCCAGCAGAGCCTCTGAAATGACATAGAGTCCCCACCAGTGGAATCCCTCAGGCCCTCACCTGGGGCACTTGTGACTGGTATGGATTCCCTAAAGTACTGAAGCTTTACAAGATGTGTTTTCACTGTCCTTGTAGGCTGTGGCATGGGTTCTGCCCACAGACCCAATATGTGTTGTCATTGGAGAAGCATTAGTTTTAGCATCAGACCTTGTCCCTTGCTCGGGTAAGGACGCCTCTGAACATCTTCTCTCCTCCCTTGAGGCTGCAGATGATTGTGCCAAAGCTGTGATGAGCAACCTGAGTGCTCACGGGGTGAAGCTGGTGCTCCCCTCCTTATTGGCTGCCCTGGAGGAGGAATCCTGGAGGACCAAAGCTGGTAAGGCCACTCCCTTTTGTCTCTTCCTTAACTTCTGTTTTGAAAACTGCCCTCAACAGGGATCCACAGTTCTTTTTCTGTGTGTGTGGTCCCCAATGCAGGGGCAAGGCCAAGACTCTGTGCCTTTAGGCAGTAGGGCCCTTCTATGGTGTGTGTGTGTGTGTTTTCTTTTGGTACGGGGAATTGAACCCAGGAGCACTCAAACACTGAGCTGTATCCTCAGCTCTTTTTTGTATTTTATTTATAGTTAGGGTCTCACTGCGTCTCTTAGGGCCTCACTTAGTTGCTGAGGCTGGCTTTGAACTTGAGATCCTCTTGCCCCAGCCTCCTGAGCTGCTGGGATTACAGGCATGCGCCACCACGCTTGGCTGGTTTTGTGTGCTATTATGCCCAGAACAGGTCTTTGACTTGAGCCACAGCCCTAAATTAGGAAATCCCGAGCATGAAAGCTGTTCTGTGGCTTTTAGCTGTTTACCTCCAGTAAATTCTTTTTAGAAATGTAATCATATCTGGAACCCTAATATGCAAAATAGATACAAAATAGATACAAAATAGATACTATGGTTTGGAGAGGAGGAAACAGGCCTGAGAATTTTAGTGAATTAGTCTGAATGGTAATGCAAGGGTAAGCCAGGTCTCTCCCTTCCTGGTTTTGTCCCTTTGCCTCGTACTACCTGCCCCCTTACCTGGGACCCTACAGCTTAGCAGGCCTCAGAGGCCTTTGTTGTCTCTGCCTTTATTCCTGGGACTGCTTGAGCACAGTTTGCAGCAATCATAGGTGATTTGTTGACCTGTGTTCAGTGATTCAGTGCTGAGCATGTATGCTGTCTGCAGGGTCAGTGGAACTGCTTGGAGCAATGGCATACTGTGCTCCCAAGCAGCTGTCGTCCTGCCTACCCAACATTGTGCCCAAGCTCACAGAGGTGCTGACTGATTCCCACGTCAAAGTGCAGAAGGCTGGACAGCAGGCACTCAGGCAGATTGGCTCCGTCATCAGGAACCCGGAGATCCTTGGTATGCCTCTCCCGCGAGGGAACTTGTTCTGGTGGCCCCCTCCCCTTTGGACACTGCAGGAAATAACCTCTAAATGCTAAAAAGTCCTTTTCCTAGAATAATTAGTTGAAAGGAGTTTGGAAGCAGTCTTTTCTTGCACTGTTCTAGAACAGGCATCATTGACTGCATGCATAGGGACACTGAGTCACTGGCTCAGGAACAGCTTGGTTCTGAGAGTTCCCCATGCACTGAGCTGAGCTGTGAGGTCTGCAGAGTGGACCACAAAAGCACCATTGTGAGTGTTAGATTATTGGGAACTGATTATTTCATCTCATTATAGTAGGCCTGTGATAGAGGGCTGGGAAAGGTGAGTTCCTTAACTATGCTGTTTAGTTTGATTCTTTTCTAAGGAATGGGAAGAGGCTGATTGCTAGGAACCAAATCCAGCCAGCCACCTGGACTGGCAGATCACTTTAACAATTTATTTATTTATTTGTTTGTTTATTTAGTGGTGCTAGGACTCAAACCCAGAGCCCCATGCATGCTAGGCAGACACTACCATTGAGCCACATGCCTAACCCTTATTTTAACATTTTAAACTTCAACTTGGGGCATCACTTGCCTAGTGTGTTTATTAGGTGTTTGTTAACTTAGAAAATAATGAAGGTTTTAAAAAAAAAATTTTTTTTTTGCAAGAGCCTAACAGTGAGTTAGGCTTCCAGCCCCCCCCCCCCCCTTTTTTTTTTTTAAGGAATGAGTTTGGGAGAATTGGATTTTTTGAAATAAATAAATCATTTATTTTGTAGTTCTGAGGATTGAATGCAGGCATGCTCTATCACTGAGTTACATCCCCAGCCCTTGCTAAGTTGCCTAGGCTGGCTTTGAACTACTGTCCTCCTGCCTTAGCCTCCCACATTGGTGGGATTACAGGTGGGCACCACTCTGCCTGGATAGAGTTTGAGGATTGTTGTTTTTTTTTTTTTTTTTAATATTTATTTTTTTTTAGTTTTAGTTGGACACAATACCTTTATTTTATTAATTTATTTTTATGTGGTGCTGAGGATCGAATCCAGGGTCTCGCGCATGCGAGATGAGAGGTCTACCGCTGAGCTACAACCCCAGCCTGAGGATTTTTTTTTTTCTTTTTTTGAGAAAAAAGCTTTCTTTAAGGTAGAGAGGGCCATTACATAGTGAGAAATATTTTCGTTTTTCTAAGAAGATATAACAATTCTAAATTTAATACCCTTGAAATATATAAAACTATAGGGAGAAATTAATAAATCCATTGTCATAATGAGAGAATACAGTACACTTCTCAATTACTGATAGGGCAAACAGATAAAATTTAGTAAGAAGGCATGCTTTTAATTTTTTTATTTGCTTTTATTTACATTTTTTCAGCTTTACCATATATTTATAAGTAAAAATTTATATGTTTATAGGCACAACATGATATTTTGATACATGCATATACTACGAAATGATTACCACAGTTAAGCTAATTAACATATCTGTCACCCCACATAGCTTACTTTTTGTGGTCTATTTTCCTAGCAAATTTCAAATGTACAACAGAGTATTACTAACTGTAGTAACCATGCTGTACACTGGATCTCCAGAACTTACTCATCCTACCCCCCTGAAGCTTTGTACCCTTTGACCAACATCTCCTTAGCCCTGGCAACCACTAGTCTACTCTTCATCTATGAGTTCCACTTTGATAGTGCCCAATAGCCCTGGGTATTTCTAAGGCCCAGAACAGTCTCATGTCTATCACATTAGGAATCGAGCATGAATCATTTTTTTTTATGGATATGTAATTTGCATAATTTTAAATTTACTCTTAAATTGTATGATTTAGTAGTACTTAGAATATTTCAAAATTGTTTAAACATCACCACCGTCCAGGGCAATTTCATCAGTTAGAAAGAAACCTTATGTCCATTAGCAGTCATTCTTCAACCCCCTCCCCCTCTTTAACCCCTGACAACCACTAATCTACTTTCTTTCTCTCTGGATTTTCCTATTCTGAACATTTCATACAAACCATAGAAGACGTAAGTGACCTTTTGTGTCTGACTCCAATCACTTAGTGTGATGTTTCATCTATGCTGTAGCACATATCACTTGTTCCTTTTTATGGCTGAATAACATTCCAAAGTTCAGCTGAATATATGCTACATTTTGTTTATCCATTTATCCATTAACGTGCATTTGGGTCATTTCCACTTTTTGGCTTAAGCTTAATGCTGCTCTGAACCTTTGAGTAATAGTTTTTGTCTAGATGTTATGTTTTTAGTTTGGTTAGACACTTAGGAATAGAATTGCGGGTCATTTGACAACTCTGTTAAACTTTTTGAAGAGTTGCCAGACTGTTTTTCAGTGTCCAGATGGCTGCACCATTTGACATTCCCAACAGCAATGTACAAGGGTCTCAGTTGCCAATACTTGTTATTCTCTTTTTGATTACAGACATCCTAGTGGGTGTGAAGTAGCCTCTCATTGTGGTTTTGATTTACATTTTTTTTTTAAATTTATTTTTTTTAGTTTTTCAGTGGACACAACATCTTTATTTTATTTTTATGTGGTGCTGAGGATTGAACCCAGCACCCTGCGCATGCCAGGCGAGCACACTACCGCTTAAGCCACATCCCCAGCCCCTGATTTACATTTTTAATGAGGTATTTTGAGCATCTTTTCATGTGCTCATTGGCTGTTTGTATGTCTTCTTTGGAGAATGGTATATTCAGATCTTTTGCCCACTTTTCAATTGGGTTATTCTTTTTTTATTGTTGGCCAACATGGATCTTTTTTTTTAATATTTATTTTTTAGTTGTAGTTGGACACAATACCTTTATTTCACTAATTTATTTCTATGTGGGGCTGAGGATCGAACCCAGGGTCTCAAACATGCGAGGTGAGCGCTCTACCATTGAGCCACAACCCCAGCCCCGCCAACATGTATCTTTATAGTGATTAAACTGTTTGGGCTTGTGGAAAAGATAAAGCAGGTATTTCTTTTGGAATTTCTTCTGCTGAGCTATTGATGCTGAATTTTTGAGAACTCGTTTTTATCTCACCTTGACTGTTCTAAGTATTGAGTACTTCATTTCCAACAGTGGTTCAAGCACTTTCATTAAACAGGTTTTTTCACAAAACCACTATTTGGTTGCTGGTTCCCAGATAAGCTCCCTGGTTCCTAAGAAGCAACCCTGCTGAGGCGCAGCACTTTGGTTGTAGCTCAGTGCACTCAAGCAGCCCATAAGTGCTGCTTTATCACAAGTTGCAGTGCAGAAGGGTGATGGCTGTCACCTCTACACAGTGACCTCCTTGTCCTGCAAATGGAGCAAGGATTGCTCTCTGTAGGTAGACTGGCTTCTGCAGCTGACAACTGGTAGGGCTTTAGGGAGGAGGTGCCTCAGTCTCCCTGTTCTTTAGTTCTGCAGACACTGTGGCTTTGCCACTTCATAGACTTGTATAAACCAGCCTCTCTCCTGTGTGGATCTGCAGCCATTGCCCCAGTCCTGCTGGATGCCCTGACGGACCCCTCAAGGAAGACCCAGAAGTGCCTACAGACCCTGTTGGACACCAAATTTGTCCACTTCATTGATGCCCCGTCACTGGCCCTCATCATGCCCATTGTCCAGAGAGCCTTCCAGGACCGTTCTACAGACACACGGAAGATGGCAGCACAGATTATTGGCAACATGTATTCCCTGACAGACCAAAAGGTAGCAACCACCTGGGGCTGGTGTGCAGAGGATCTGCCCACAGCAGATAAGAAGGAATGTGGGCACTGGGCCCTGATTGTGTTTACAGGCAGAATGGGCCATTTCGGGTAGGAGGTAGAATCTGGGCTCTCTGGGGCATCTTCAGGAGTGAGGCAGTTCAAGTTTCTACTAGTTTAGTCCTCAGCTGAGATTGACCCTTTAGGTCCCTTTTACAGACTGAGGTGGAGGAAAGACGTACCTTTTCCTTGGACCTTTCAGGAGTTTTAATAAAGTAGCCGCTGCTTTCCCTCCTTGCAGTGTTTTTTTTTTTTTTTTTTTGTTATGAATGTTTACTACTGTAAACCTCTTAGAGGAGTTTGGTCTAGTTTGGGAGACTTGCCTCTTTTCATTTATTTGCTCCCAAAAGCTTGCACACATGAGTTCAGCATCTATCACAACTCTGCACTGATGGACAAAAGAAGATAAAGGGAAATGTTATGTCAATCTTGGAAAATTTGAGAAAATGAAAAATTAGAAAAACAGCTGAGGATGGTGGTGCACACCTGTAACCCCAGTGATTTGGGAGGCTGAGGTAGGAGGATCATGAATTCAAAGCCAGCCTCAGCAACTTAGCGAGACCCTGTCTCAAAATTAAATATAAAAAAGGGCTGGGAATGTGGCTCAGTGGTTGCATGTCCCTGGGTTTAATCCCTATTACCAAAAAAAAAAAAAAAAGAAAGAAAAACAAAATATTTTACCCTCAGTCCCCCAGCACTAAAATAATTAATGCTTTTACATTCTATTTTTTAAAAATTTAGATTCCTGAACATTATTATAGTGATTTATTCGTAAAACTGATTTTTAGTAGTTATATAATGTCCCAACATGTTTATATACCATAAGTTATATAATCCTATCATTGGTCTTAAGGGTCCAAGGCTTTTTTTTTTTTTAAACTATTTTAAAGGAAGGCTGCAGTGAACATAAGGCATTTTCTATATTTAAAGTTATTCCCCAAAGTTGAATGCTACATCAAGAGACATAAACATTTTGAGATGAAGAAAGAGATGATACAGAAATTCTGAAAGGAAAGTACCAGGAATATTTCCTAAGGATTCCAGAATTTTGGGCAGGCCTTGGTCCCAAGAGAAGGGCTGGAGGAGTAGAGCTTTGGACTGTAGCTGGTGGCTCTGTCTGACCTGATGGGGAGGGGCTGAGCATCCTTCATAGGTTTCCCTGATCATTTGTTTGCCTGGTGTTCTCACAGGCCTGGTCCCTTGCTCTTTGCTAGTTATCCCACCTGTTCTGTGAGAAGTTAGGTTTTCATGTTTGGGGCCCCATTAAGTGCTCTCTATTAACAGAATGGTGAGATCAGAATCCACAACAGAACAGGGCCTAGAGAAAATAGAAATTGGGCCTCTGCCTGAGTTGTCTCTTGTGTTGTGGCAGGACTTGGCTCCCTACCTGCCCAGTGTGACGCCTGGCCTGAAAGCCTCTCTTTTGGACCCTGTGCCTGAGGTGAGTCTGGGGAGGGAATAGCTCATGATTTTAGCCCAGCCTCTAGAAAATTGTTTCCCCAAAGCTGCTTTTATTCCTGTTGGGCAAAGGGAAGGAGGCTTGGGGTCCCTCCCTGTTCCTTCATGGCTGTCTCATTTTGAACTGCATTGCCTCACTGTTCCCATTCTTGGTTTCCTAACAGGTACGAACAGTATCTGCCAAGGCCCTGGGGGCCATGGTGAAGGGCATGGGGGAGTCATGTTTTGAGGACTTGCTACCATGGCTGATGGAGACACTGACCTATGAGCAGAGCTCCGTGGATCGCTCAGGCGCTGCACAAGGTGAGACCAGAGCTGGCGCAGGGGCCAGATTGGAAATGCCTTCAGGGGGCCTTCAGAACCAGTGGATTCATTCTGCATTTGTGTCACAGGGTTGGCTGAGGTCATGGCTGGCTTGGGGGTGGAGAAGTTGGAGAAGCTGATGCCAGAAATTGTAGCAACAGCCAGCAAAGTGGACATCGCGCCCCATGTCCGAGATGGCTACATCATGATGTTCAACTACCTGCCTATCACCTTTGGGGACAAGTTCACCCCTTATGTGGGACCCATCATTCCCTGTATCCTCAAAGTAGGTACCAGTGATCCCTCTAAGGACGAAGGAATGAGAGCAGTATGCCCCTGTTCTCCTAGAGAGCCATAGCTACCTGTCTCTGGGGCCACTTTGAGTCTGGGTGCCAATGGTAGCCCTTGCTGACCCACCCTCTGCATATCTAGGCTCTGGCTGATGAGAATGAGTTTGTGCGTGACACTGCCCTGCGTGCAGGCCAGCGAGTCATCTCCATGTATGCTGAGACGGCTATTGCACTCCTGCTGCCCCAGCTGGAGCAAGGCCTCTTTGATGACCTTTGGAGAATTCGGTGAGACCTTTGGCCAAAAGGCCCAGTGGGCCTAGGTTTTACAATTTAGGAACGCCTCTTGAGGGATGAGGGGCAGAATGTTGTCAGGAACTCTCTCGGCTATCTCCAGACTCTTGATTTTAACCATTTTGTCACCTTCGAATTCCTGGAGCAGCGTCTTTATTCTGACTCTGTTTTAAACAGTTCTTCCTCATTTAATCCTAGTTTGTATTCAGATTTCATGGTGGGCTGGGGGGGGCGGTAGTTCAATGGTAGAGTGCTTGCCTAGCATTTGTAAAGCCCTGGGTTCAATCCCTAGAACTGCAAAAATATAAAGATTTTAAATGAATGCTCTTTTATCTCAAACTTCCATTTCTAGGAATTTATTCCAAGAACATATTTAGTTAAGTACTTAGAACTATATGCAGAAGGGTGTTTATTTCAGTATTACTTATCATTTGAAAAACTTTGGAGTTCAGTTGAAAAATATCATATGGCACATCTACAGACTAGACTTTTATTCAGCCACTACAAAGAATGGTATGTAACAATATTGGCCGACAGAGAGCTTGTCAACCTGCTGTTCACAGGACAGTGCAGGTAGTGTAGGCACACTTCACATGTTATGGGGTATGAGTGTGTGTCAGTGTAGACAGAAGTGCTTATCCGGTGGTAATAGTATCAGGATGGTTGCAATTGTTTATGCTTTCTTCCTTTAATTTTTTTTTTTTGTAGTTGTAGATGGACAGAATGCCTCTATTTTTATGCAGAGCTGAGGATTGAGCCCAGTGCCTCACACATGCTAAGCAAGTGCTCTGCCACTGAGCTACAGCCCCAGCCCTGCCTTCTTCCTTTATCTCTTTCTGCACTTCTTGATTTTTCAGTTTGAATATTACTATTATTTTTCTAACCATTAAAAAGTATAAAACTGGGGCTGGGGCTGGGGCTGTAGCTAAGTGGCAAAGTGCTTGCCTAGCACATATGAGACACTGGGTTTGATCCTTAGCACCAAGTAAAAATTAAACAAACAAAATAAAGGCATGTTGTCCATCCACAACTATAAAAAAATTAAAAAAAAAAAAACAAAAAACAAAAACCCTGTAAAATGTTATGGGTTTTTTTGTTTGTTTGTTTTGATGCTGGGTGGGGATTGAACCCAGAGGAGCTTCATCACTGAGCTACATCCCTAAGCCCTTTTGATTTTTTTATGTTGAGACAAGGTCTTACTAAGTTGCTCAAGGCCTTGCTAGATTGCTGAGACTATCCTCAAACTTGAGTTCCTCCTGTCTCAGCCTCCCAAGTGACTGGGATTGTAGGTGTCCACACCTAGCTATAACCCTAATTCAGTAAAGTTCATCCTTTTAGGCTCCTCCAGGTTTCTTCACTTGTAATGCTCTGTCGTACTTATTTCCTGTTAATTCTTCCCTTTTGTCTCTTTCTCATGACTTTTATTATGGAAATTTTCACACAAGCTTCATTCCTTTTTTTTTTTTGCAGTGCAGGGGATGGAACCCAGGGCCTTGTGCATTCTATGCAAGCACTGTACCATTGAACTACACCTTAGCCCTATTTCTTTTTTTGTTCACTAGTAGAAAACTTGTAGAAAATATATGGGAGAGTGTAAAGAAATGGAAACTGCCTTAACTTACCTTTCTAAGACCACCACCTTGAATATTTTGGGCACATTTCCGTCTAGTCTTTCTTCTGTGTAGTGCTGGGTTGTGCCCCATACTAGAGGCAGTGTGACTCTGTTCTTGGCTTCCTTTTCAGGTTCAGCTCTGTTCAGCTACTTGGGGACCTCCTGTTCCATATTTCAGGGGTCACAGGGAAGATGACCACAGAAACTGCCTCTGAAGATGATAACTTTGGAACTGCCCAGTCCAACAAGGTGGGAAGTTAGCTTTGCTGAGCAGAGGAAATGCCCTGGGGCCTTTCTTTGCTCTGGAGGCTTCACCACCCATGTTCTGTGTCCCCTTCTGTGGGCTATAGGCGATCATCACTGCTCTGGGAGTTGACCGGCGGAACCGGGTGTTGGCAGGCCTCTACATGGGCCGTTCAGACACCCAGCTGGTGGTGCGGCAGGCGTCCCTGCATGTCTGGAAGATTGTTGTCTCCAATACCCCCCGCACCTTGCGTGAGATCCTGCCTACTCTTTTTGGGCTTCTGCTGGGATTCCTGGCAAGCACATGTGCGGATAAGAGAACGGTAAGCTTTCTAGGCCTTGTTCTGGCCCAGCAGCCCCTCATGTCTTCTTTCAGAGCTCCTTGCACTGCAGAGCCTGGGAGAGAGCCAAGGATTCTCTGTTTAACAGAGGAACATTAATTATTTACTTAGTCACTCAGCAAATGTTTACTATATGGAGAAGAAAGGCAGACTTAGTCCCTGTCCTGAGAGCCTCATTCTGGTAGAGGAGATGCATGTTAATCAGTCACACAAACAGATGTTGAGTGCAGCTTTGGCAAGTGCAGCATGCAGTTATACTTGCTAACGCTAGGGGCGTGTGGCCTAGAGAGAGGGTCAGCAGGTGCTTCTCAGAAGAAAGGATGCTTAAAGGTGAAAGATGAGTAAGCGCTAGCCAGCTGTGGTGGTGGTGAGAGAATATTCTAGATAGGGAATAGTGCCAGGGTATGAAAAGGTCCCATTGTAAGCAGACGATGGCACACAGTAGGGGTTAGGCAAGGCCATTGTGGCTGGAGTGAGGAATCAGGGAGGAGCAAGCTTGGCATGAGAAGGCTTGTGCACCAGGTGGGACAAATGGGGTTCAGTGGTTTTGAGAGCAGGTACCCAGTCTGGGCTGATGACCACTTCTGCCAGTCCCCCTTTGGTGCACTTATAGTCCCTGACCTTGGGAAGCAGATTGTGTATTTGATTTGAAGAAGGGTTTGCATGAGACCTTAGAGAGGAGATGGATTTTTCCCTTAAAACATTTGTTCCAAATTTGGCTCCCCTTGAGTAACAGAGATACGTTTTCAATGATCAGGGAAATTGGCCTTGACCTTACATCCTGTGATGACTTTCATGTTCATATATAAGGTGCCTGCTCTTGTTTTAGGGTGTGTATATGTGTGTGAAACAGAGTTCTTTCATAGTGTATTTTGAGCACTGTGGGGCTCTTTATGGTAAGACATTGAAGAAGGTTAGTGACTCAGATAAAGCCTGGAGGTTCTAGGTCCTCATTCTGGAGTTATTCTCTGGGTGCCCTGGGTTTTTCAGGGAGTTGATATTTTTAGGTTTTTTTGGTACCAGGGGTTAAACCCAGGGTTATGTATTATGTTTGAAACAGGGTCTTGCTAAATTGCTTAGGGTCCCATTAAATTGCTGAGGCTGGCTCTGAGCTTGCAATCCTCCCTCCGCAGCCTCCCAAGTCTCTGGGATTACAGGTATGCGCCATTGTACCTGTCTGGGAGTTTTGACTTGATCTTTGTTGACAGATCGCAGCAAGGACATTGGGAGATCTTGTCCGGAAGCTGGGGGAGAAAATCCTCCCTGAGATTATCCCCATCCTTGAGGAAGGCCTGAGGTCTCAAAAAAGTGATGAGAGGCAGGGTGTGTGCATTGGGCTGAGCGAAATTATGAAGTCCACCAGCCGTGACGCTGTGAGTATCTTCAGAGGGCCCTGCAGTGCCTGTCTCTGGGTTAGGGTGGGGATCACAGGAGCCCTGCCCCCAGAGATTCACCAGCCTTACTCTGTAAGGGGCTGTTGGCAGCGGGGTGCTGGCCAGGCCACTTGCAGATTTTAGTTTTCTTCTTAGTTTTCCTGTCAGTTTTGCGGGCTAAGAACTAAGCCATGTGGAGGGCTCCTTGAGTGGCCTTTGGAAACTGGAAATGATTCAGTACTCCTGAGGTTGCTACAGAGCAGTCCCTTTCATGTGTCACTCTACCAGCTAGGTTAAAGTGTGTGGTGCCTCCTTAGTGGGAAGGGAAATGTGCACTGGAGTGGCTGAGGGTGGCAGAGATGGGGAGGGGTGTGCACTTGTTCTCAGGAGAGGAGTCATGAGAGTTGAAGTACCCAGTGGGTGGAAATGTGTTGTCTCTAGCAGTAATTCTGTTTCCATAGCAGCAACATTCAAGGGGTTTGGAGTACTCTATTTCTAAGGTTTGACCTTACTTTCTAAGGTCATTGATCCTCGAAACACTCCTAGAGAGTAGACTGGTAGTGTGTAATGGGCCTTGATTTGGTTGGCAACCCAGAAGCAATAAGTGGATGGCCAGTTAGAAATGTAAGCAAGCAGCCAGTTTCTCAGCCTCAGCATTCTAGTCTGGTTTACTAGTCTCTAGTCTCCTCTTGTGTCTTATTAGTGTAGGTCTTACATTTGTTTTTTATACCTGCATTTGGCAAAGAATCAAAAGAAATTCTGTCACCCAAGAGAGTTGTGAATAATTGAGAAGTTACTGAATCCTTCAGAGGCTGAGTCATGCCTGTGAGCTACCCATAGTCCAGTGGCAAGGCTGGCACATCAAAGTGAGCTTTGTTATGGTGGAATTGATTGCCTAGGGAGCAGTGCCATCGTTAGGCTGTTGGAGACCCAAAGACTTCATAGAGGAGGAAATCTTTAGGTTGAGTCTTGAAGAAGGACTTAAGAGTTTTCCAGGAAGATTAGCAAAAGAAAGAGTTCAGGGGAAGGGGGCCAGGTCCTAGAGGTCTTGCCATTAAAGCTCTTAATTATGAAGTTTGGGCGAGGCATTCACCATGTGTGTACACAGTTCTGGGGTCTGGCATGTGCTAGGAAAGTGCTCTACCACTGAGCTACAGCCCTGGTCCTCTCTGCTTTAACAAAAAGTCCAACATAGGGAGTCATGGCTTGACCGGGTTATAGTCCTTGGCCTGAGTCCCCTTGCTTATTTCCCCTCCCCCTAGGCCTTTTGTGCCTTAATATACTGTGCTTGCACTGTTGCAGGTGCTGTATTTCTCCGAGTCCCTTGTGCCCACAGCAAGGAAGGCTTTGTGTGACCCCTTGGAAGAGGTCCGAGAGGCAGCAGCCAAGACTTTTGAGCAGCTGCACTCCACCATTGGCCACCAGGCTCTGGAGGACATCCTCCCATTTTTACTGAAGCAGCTGGTGAGTGGATCTGGCGCACACCTACCAGTGTGGCTTTTACTGTCTTCGTAGCAGTAAAACTCAGTAGGTTGCCTTTGCCAAGGCAGTGGAATGTGGGCCTCCAGGGGGAGTGGGTGCAGCAAGACCAGAAGTGACTTTGTGCTTTTCCTAGGACGGTAAGTAAATATGGGTACAGTGGGGGATAAGGAGGTAGTAACTGGTTCAGACATCAGAGATGTGGCAAGAGCCAGCTTCTTAGGGTTGTCCTCAATGTCCTTCTGCAGGATGATGAAGAAGTATCAGAATTTGCCTTGGATGGTCTGAAGCAAGTTATGGCCATTAAGAGTCGTGTGGTGCTGCCTTACCTCGTGCCTAAGGTAAATCTCAACACATGGCAAACACCAGGCCCTGAATCCACCTTGTTAGTCCTGGGCCTGCTGTGAAGACCAGTTCTGAGTGCAGAGGTTGGGGGCTGGTGGTGGGTGGAGTACAGGGTCCTGAGATTTGCTGGGGCAGGCCCTCATCTCTGAGTGGAGTGTGGGCTCCCTTGCTTGCCATTCCTTCCTCAAGAGCCGGTGCCACTGCTGGCACTGAGCAGGTGCAGTATTCATCAGGTTGCTGTTGTTCATCATTCCACCAGCTGACTACGCCACCTGTCAATACCCGGGTGCTGGCTTTCCTTTCGTCTGTGGCAGGTGACGCTCTGACCCGTCATCTTGGTGTGATCCTTCCGGCAGTCATGTTGGCTCTGAAGGAGAAGCTAGGGACCCCAGACGAGCAGCTGGTAAGGGGGCCACGATCACTCCTCTGTCATTTATTAGCAGCCATCCTTACTGTCCCTGATGATCCGTGCTCAGCACACTTGTCCCTTGTGGTTTTAGGAGATGGCTAATTGTCAGGCCGTGATCCTCTCAGTAGAGGATGACACTGGGCACCGGATCATCATTGAAGATCTGTTGGAAGCCACCCGCAGCCCTGAGGTGGGCATGAGGCAGGCTGCTGCCATCATCCTCAACATCTACTGCTCCCGCTCCAAGGCTGACTACACCAGCCACCTGCGGAGCCTGCTCTCAGGCCTGATCCGCCTCTTCAACGACTCCAGTCCTGTGGTGCTGGAGGAGAGCTGGGACGCCCTAAATGCTATCACCAAGGTGAGGGGACCACTGCCCCCACAACAAGCTTTTTATTGGAGAAAATTCCAGACATTTATAATAATAGATTCTGACAGGATTCCTCCATATACCCATCACTCAGCTTCAACACTGATCAACTTGTGGCTAGTCCTGTTTCTATCACCCCCCAACCCTTCCCACATCTGCATTATTTTGAAGCAGTCCTGAGAGGGAGGGCTGCACATCATCGCTGCTTTTTCCTGGATTCCCACAGAAGCTGGATGCCGGCAACCAGTTGGCACTGATTGAAGAACTGCACAAGGAGATCCGGCTCATAGGCAATGAGAGCAAAGGCGAGCATGTGCCAGGGTTCTGCCTCCCAAAGAAGGTAGGTCAGGGCCTGGAGGTGCAGGGTGCTGCACCCTGCTGCCTTCCTGTGTCCTCACCCCTGGCCTGGGTCTGCAGTGTGCGCTGTTGCAGTGGCGGGTCAGTCAGACTTCATGCTTGAGTATTCTTCAGCGCCTTCACATACAGCGTGCTTCTGCCATGGTGGCCAGATGGGGACAGGGTGCGTGCTTCCCTTGGTTTAAGCTGTCAAGGCCACCTCATCCAGACCAAATAGGTTGCAGAGGTGGCAGCAGCGTTTGTTACCTCTGTGTGCTTGGTCTGTTGGGGCTTGCCCTCTTGTCACCATTCATTTAAGCCTCTTCCCCAGCCAGCCCAAATTGTCATCTCCTAGTTGACTAGAGGATGACTTTCAGGAGCACTGTGCTTTGGGTGGGAGACACGTGGGCCTAAGGCCTTTGGTATTGGACTCTCAGCTGTGGTTCCCTTGTCAGGGGGTAACCTCCATCCTTCCAGTGCTGAGGGAAGGAGTCCTTACTGGCAGTCCTGAGCAGAAGGAAGAAGCCGCCAAGGCCTTGGGCTTGGTGATCCGCCTGACCTCCGCTGACGCCTTGAGGCCCTCTGTGGTCAGCATCACTGGCCCCTTGATTCGCATCCTGGGGGACCGATTCAGCTGGAATGTGAAGGCAGCTCTGCTGGAGACACTCAGCCTCTTACTGGCCAAGGTGAGTGATTGATAAGTTTGGTCTTTTGGTCTGCTCAAATCTTAGAGAACAGATATCTTCAGGACACTGATGTGAGATACCCTTGGCAGCAAGGTGACAGCTTCATTATGGAGAAACGGCATAGCAGAGGGACTTGAGCCCATCAACTCAGACTACACTGCGTCCAATTCCAAGTCCTCCTCTTAGTAGCTACATGGCCCTTGGGAAAGCCATGTAACCTCTGAGCCTGCCTCTGACGTCTAAGACTGATGACACTGCCTACCTTCTGTGGGGCTTAGGTGAACTAATGCCAAACACTGTGCCTGATACAATAAGCACTCAGTACATGGTGATAGTTGTTATTTTGAAGAATCAGTTTTAAAGGAAAAAATTCAGGGCCATATAAATACAGTGAAAACACTGTTAAAGTTGCTTGAGTTCTTTATTACAACCACATAAAGAGAAACGCAAAGAATCTGGTGAGAGAATGAAAAAGACAAATTTTGAGAACAACCAAAGTGACTTCAGTTTTTGCCAAAAGTATAAGAAGCAAAGATTTAATGTGGTAACTGTTTCAGATGTTCTTAGGGGGTAATAATTAAACCCCTTAGACTTAAAGTATAAATGGAGCCAAAATTCATTATTTTAAAAAAATCTTACACAAGGTTTGGAAGCAAATGCACACTTAAGATTTGTAGTTTTTTTCCTTTGGAAGTAAGAGCAACTCCCCAGCTACCAAATGGGATTGTATCAGCCTCACTTTGTGACTTTTTTTTTTTTTAAACAAAATTAAATATCATCTTCACCTCATATTCTGTGCTATATTCTTTTCTGTGGTATTTTTGGAGCTCTAGACACAATTGGAGCTCCTACCTCATGGAGCTTGCCCCGACCTGAGTCAGTTGTCACCCATGGGCAGGAGGTTTTAGATTCATGTTTACCATCTTCCCCTATTGCGTGCCTTTGAGCAACTTACAAATCTGTCTGAATCCAGTGTTTCCAGATGTTCATTGGCATTGAATCTTTAGACAGACACAGGGAGATTCCTCTTTTACAAGAACTAAATTTTCTCTGGCTCCAACTATGTTTTATCAAAAGTGTGCCTATTGGGCTGGGGGTGTGGCTCAGTGATAGAGCACTTGCTTAGCACATGTGAGGCACTGGGTTCCATCACCAGGACCACGTAAAAATAAACAGGCTGGGGCTGGGGCTCAGTGGTAGTGCACTTGTCTGGCATGTATGAGGCACTGGGTTTGATCCTCAGCACCACATATAAATAATTAATAAAAGTCTATCAACAACTTCAAGAAATTAAAAAAAAAATAAAGTAATTGTTCCATCTGCAACCATATATATTTATATGTGTGTGTATGTGTGTGTGTGTATTTTTTTAAGTATGCCTGTTTTCTGTGTATAGTCAGGGAGTGAGCTGGAGTTGTATTGAGGTGGATGCACATGTGTATCAGGTGGATTCTCCAAGGTCATTTGGGTCATGGGCTTGTTCCAAGGGCTCAGTGTGGAGAGCTTGGCCTACAAATCTGTTGTTTAGTAGCTGGTACCTGCTGTTATGTGGACATCTCCCTGCCTTGGCACGAGAACTGTACTTCTGACCATCAGCTGCCTACCTTGCTTTTTAATGGATTCAGAGGAGGAGGATCTGAGACACTGTTCTTCTAGATGGGTTTCACTGAGATAAGCTGTGATACAGCCAGGGCTGCAAGGCAGCTCCCTCTGACAGTCACTGCTCTACCGCCTCCTCTTCCTCCTGCTTTCTCTAGTGTGACGAAGGATGCTGAAAACAGATGAGGAGGCTGAGCAGAACCTGTCTCTGCTGTTATTGCTAGCCTGTGTGAGAGCTTGGTTAACTCTAGGTGGTTTGTGATTATTGTTTGCTTTCATTCCTGTAGCCTTGGAGTGGCCTTGGAGTCCACCACAACTATGATTTTTGGGTGTGTGTTTTTCCCACAGGTTGGAATTGCCCTGAAGCCCTTCCTGCCCCAGCTGCAGACCACCTTTACCAAGGCCCTACAGGATTCCAACCGGGGCGTGCGCCTGAAGGCTGCTGATGCACTGGGGAAGCTCATTTCCATCCATATCAAAGTGGATCCCCTCTTTACAGAGCTGCTCAATGGAATCCGAGTCATAGAGGACCCAGGTGTCAGGTAAGGTGCTTCTGAGGGAGTGTGTAGCCTCCAGGAGACAAGGCAGCTGCGTTGGGCTGTGCCTGTGCAGGTAGAAGGCAATGGTGGGGAAGAGGCAGGGGTTAAGTCAATGCATTGGTTCCCTAGGGACACCATGCTACAGGCCCTGAGGTTTGTGATTCAGGGAGCAGGTGCCAAAGTGGATGCTGTTATCCGGAAGAACATCGTCTCGCTCCTGCTGAGCATGCTGGGACACGATGAGGTACAGCTGCAGTGGATGGCTGGGCTGGGGGCTCTGCTGTTTCTTGTCTCCTTTCTTTGAGTGGCCTCTCCATGTTATATTATTACCTGGACCACTCTACTGATATTATTGATTCTGGCTTTAAAAAAATTTTTTTTGGTGCTAGAGATAGGATATAGGGCCCCTAGCCTATTGATTCTATCCTATAGATAAGGCAAGTAATATTTGTGCTGTTCCAGATCTCTCACCATTTTGTTCTCTAATTTTAAGTCACTTTCCCTCTCTACCCCTCATTTCTCTTTGTAAATCAAAGATGTTCATTTTTTGGTTCAGGAAACATTTATAGAAATGAAGGGCCTTGTGTATGAGGCCTCGTGGTTGTAGACATTAAGAAATTTAAAAATCTGGTAGGATAAATCATCTTTGCTGTTTGTCCAAGAAAGAGGATGAGACTTGTCTGGGGCCACACTTTATCCAGTTACAGAATCAAAACCAGAATCCAGTTGGGCGTGGTGGCACATGTCTGTAATTCCAGGGACTTGGAGCAGGGGAATTGCAAGTTTGAGGCCAGCGTGGATAACTTAGTGAAATCCTGTCTCAAATTTTTTAAAAGAGTTGGGGGTGTAATTCAGTGATAGAGGCTTGCCAATCATATGCGAGTCCCTGGCTTCCATTCCCAGCAACTCTCTCTCTCTCGCTCGCTCGCTCGCTCACACAACCCAGAATCCAGGCCCTGTGCCTCCTGATTGTGCCCAATTCCATTATCCCTGTCCAGTCTGGAAGCATTTGTTAATTGGCTGCCAAGCACTGCAGGTCCAGTCGGGGGGTGGGTAAGACTTTTCTTTTTCCCTTTTAACAACAACAATTCTGTTGTGGTGGCCTAATTTACATTTATAGGGCTAATCTTGGGAGAGCATGCCTTTGGGTTCTGTGGTTTCACACTTCGTCGTGTGCATACATCTGGGCCAGTCATTGCTGCTGTGTTTGTTCACATAGCTCTGCAAGGCTGGTTCTGGTCCTCAGCTGCCATCTGGCTGTAGCCCTGGCTTCTGTGGATACAGATGAGAGCATCTGTCCTCTTTTGGTCACAGTCAACAAGGGCTTTTACAGGGTCATGAACAACACAAATGTTAGTATTTAAACAAATTTGCAGTTTACCACAATGGAGCTTAAAATAGCTTGCTTTGGAGAGAGTGGGCATCAGAGCTGGCTTTGTCCTTGCTTACCTAGGCTTCTGCTGCTTCTTCTCCTTAGAACTTCCACTTGGATTGAAGGTAGCAGTTGGTGCTGGCCTGGCATCAGCTTCCCCACAGGTTGTTGGTTTGGAGGGATGCGTGTCAAGCTGGCATCTACTAATAATACAGTATATAAAATCCCCTCTGTTTTCTAGAGACAGTTGGCCAAGGTGGGAGTAACCGGGAGCTCTTTGTGTACCTGGCCTTGATTTTGATAGAAAACGCTCACTTAGCTGGGTGTGGTGGCGCATGCCTGTAATCCCAGTGACTCAGGAGCCTGAGACAGGAGGATCTTGAGTTCAAAGCCAGATTCATCAAAAGTGAGGCGCTAGCAATTCAGGATGAGGATGAGGCTCAGTGTTAAGTGCCCCTGGGTTCAATCCCTGGCACCAAACAAACCAGAAAACCCCCCGCATACGACATGTGCATACACACACACACACACACACACACACACACACTCACTCACTCACACACACACACATACACTCTTACAATCCAGAATCTAAGCTCTGACTCCTGGTTATGCTTGTTCCCAATTCCATAATCCCTGTCCATTTTGGAAGCATTTGTCAAGTACCCATTGGCTGTAGTGACCCAGTAGAGGCAGCAGACAGTCATCTGGGTACAAGATGACACACAGATTTGTCGGGAAAAAGGGGCTTAGTGGTTGTTTTCTTGCTGCCTTCCCAGGTGGCCGTGGGCAGGTGGCTCCCCTCTTTGTGCTGTGGTCTTTCCCAGCTGTACCCCTTCTGTCTTGGGGCTATTGAGAGTAACTGAGAGACTAAATGTAAAGCATTCAGATTTCCCAAGGAGAAAGGTGCTATGTAAATACAGTTATTGTTGCTATTGTGATGATGATTACCATATGCACACACACTGGAGTTTTCTATAATTACGTGAAGTGCTTGCTGGGCATGTAATTTTTAACTCTCCACCAAGTGGCAGTTGCAGTGAATGGCAGTCCCAATCTGGTACTGGGAACACAGTGCCTGGAGTAAGGCCTGGCTTCAGAGTTCCTGAGTTTATGTGTTCCATCCTCTTCTCCGTCCTCCCTCCTGGGCCCTGGCCTTACTCCCTATCACTCCCCATTCTGCTCTCCAGGACAATACTCGGATCTCCGCAGCTGGGTGCCTGGGGGAGCTGTGTGCCTTTTTGACGGAAGAGGAGCTTAACACTGTCCTTCAGCAGTGCTTACTGGGTAAGTCTCTTGTATGGGGGGAGTTCCCCTTCATGGGCTTGGGCCCCTTAGCCCCAGGGAAGAGGCCCTGGGCACCTGTCTCCCCTTCCCCTCAGATGATCTTGTAGCACCTGGAATACCCCTTCCTTGGGACCAGTTGCTAACACAGTACTAGAAAGTAGTGCTGTAGCCCTGAGTATCTCTGCTCTAAGAATACAGCCAGAAGCTGGGAGCAGTTTGTGAGAGACTTCTCTGCTACTTTTTGGAACTTTTGCTACAAAAGTGGGGAGGTTGGGCACAGTGTGGCTTGGGGTTTCCACCATGCCTAAGTCTGCACCATGGTCTTGGTGGGACTTGGCTCCCAGGACTCCATGAGTAGGGGTGTGCTGTGAAGTTCACGTTGACCTCAGTTGTGTCCTCCTACCCAGCGGATGTGTCCGGCATTGACTGGATGGTTCGGCATGGCCGGAGCTTAGCACTCTCTGTGGCTGTGAACGTGGCTTCCAGCAGACTCTGTGCAGGCAGATACAGCAGTGAAGTTCAGGAAATGATTCTCAGCAGTGCCGTGGCAGACAGGGTAAGGCTCTCAGGCTGCTGGTTCAGCCCTCCCGTCCTCTAGCAAGTATTCCACAGCCATGGCTCTGCTCACCCAGCACAGGGGACATCTCTCCCCAGCTGGGTCTTCAGAGCATGGGTTCTATTTTACTGTGGCTGGTAACTTATTGTGCCCTGGGACCAGTAGGTGATTTCTTTGGGCTCTAGTTGCATCATGTAAACAATGAAGACTTTGAGTTGGAGGAAGAAGATGTCCATTCCTGGTCAAAAGGTCTCTGATCTCTGTTCCTGGGAACTAGTGACTTTGTTCATCTCCTCAACAGCCAGGGCAGCCCATCTAAATGAGAGATGTCAAGGTGTCCTTGGTGTAAAATATTAAGGATGAGATGAGTAGTGAAGGGTCCTGGAGATTACTGGGGAATCTGGTTCTGCCACTTTAAGGAGGAAGTGGGATGCCTCTGCCTGTCTAGCTCTTTCCTTTCTTTATAGGTCCCCATTGCAGTGAGTGGGGTCCGGGGCATGGGCTTCCTGATGAAGTACCACATCGAGACAGGAGGGGGACAGCTGCCAGCCAGACTCTCTAGTCTGCTCATTAAGGTGAGTAGGGAAGGGGCCTTGTATAACCCACCAAGCCTGGCTCATGAGAAAGGCCTAGAGCTGGAAGACATGGGAAATATGCCCCTGACTAGTTGGATTCCAGTTCTCAAATATTAAGAAATCTAGCTGGGTGCACTGGCGCATGCCTTTAATCCCAGTGGCTTGGAAGGCTGAGGTAGCAGAATTGTGAGTTCAGAGCCAGCCTCAGCAACAGCAAGGTGCTAAGCAACTCAGTGAGACCCTGTTTCTAAATAAAATACAAAATAGGACTGGGGATGTGGCTCAGTGGTTTAGTGCCCCTGAGTTCAATCCCTGATACCAAAAACAAAAACAAAACAAATATTAATAACTCTTCCTTCCTGCCTCCTTTCCTTAGTGGCATGTCACTTATTAGTATGGTTATGGCATCCATTCCAGGCCCTAATAGGACAAGCCATGGAATCTAACAGTGGGATTCCCACAGGAAGTGTGATGTTGCTTCTCAAGCAATTATGTGCCCAGAAATCGGAACTAAATTTTGCATTTTAATGGGTTAGGGCCATGCCTGAGACTTTGCCTCTGTTACCAGCTCCTATGTGATTCCAGCTGTGTGCAGATTTTGTTGAGTAATGAGGTTCCAAAGATACCTGGCCCCCTACTGGGATTTCTAGGAGCCCTAATTAGATCTGCCCTCTGTGATGGCATCAACTTGTATTCACTTGTTCACTCAGCATTTACTGAGTACCCACTGCTGGGCTGGACCCTGAAGGAGTAGGGAGGAACAAAATGGATGAGATCTTGGAGCCCATGGGGAGGGCCCTTGGATTGGGTTGTCAGGGAGACAGACCTTGGAAGGATGAGAAGGAACCGACAGAATGAAGATCTGGGGGCCAACTTGGGCAGTGGCTTGTTTGAGGAAGTTAAAACCCTGTGTGGGCCAGAAGTAGTGAGCCAAGGCAAGGGTGGCACAAGATGTGGTGGGGAGGTAGATGGGGCTGGATCATGCTGTCACCCTCTTGGGGAGGGACAACATTGGAAAGGAACAGTAGGGTCAATGACCATGATGAAGGGAAAGTCTCAAGGCTGAAAATTTGGGCTTCTTTGAGATACAGACTGCATGTGTCTGTGTTCCTCTCACAGTGTCTGCAGAACCCATCCAGTGACATCAGATTGGTGGCTGAGAAGATGATCTGGTGGGCAAATAAGGACCCACTGCCTCCCTTGGAGCCCCAGGCTATCAAGCCTATCCTGAAGGCTCTTCTTGACAACACCAAGGATAAGAACACTGTCGTAAGGGCCTACAGTGACCAGGCAATTGTCAACCTGCTCAAGATGAGGCGGGGCGACGAGGTGTTTCAGGTGGGAACCTGGCCTGAGTGCCTCCCAGACCATGCTGCGGCCTTTGGCTTGCTGTTTTTCTTCTGCATGATAGTACTTGGCCCCATTCTCTTCTCTGCTACCCTGTAGGTTTCAGCCTTCAGGAGCAGATTGAGAGTTAGGTGACTGTCCTGGTGCCTGAAAATAGATTTATCTTGGTTTTCAGACTTTTTCAGAAGTAGAGCTTTTTCTTCAAATAAAATCTCCATGGCTTCCAAGCATGTATCACAGACCCCAGTGGAGTGGCCTTTTTGAGGCCCAGAGTCCTGTTCCCTCAGCCCCCTGCCCCTGCAGGCAAAGCACTGAAAGCTGTGACATCTGCTTCCTCAGCTTAGGGAAAACGCATCTAGCGTTTTCCTGAGCTGTCCCTGGACCCATCTGATTGGCTTATTTTTTGCCAGATTCTGCCTCAGTGGCTTGGTTCTGAGGTTAGCATATGTCTTTGTCTTGATTTGACTGGGAATTTGAAGCCTTGTTTTCTGACTATGTCTCCTCACGCCCACTCTTCCTTACAGTCCCTCTCCAAGATCCTGGATGTGGCCAGCTTGGAGGTGCTGAATGAGTGCAACCGAAGGTCCCTGAAGAAGCTGGCCAGCCAGGCAGACTCCTCGGAGCAGGTGGATGACACCATTCTGACGTGATAGGCCTGGGCCCTGCTGTAGCGTTTCAGCTCCACATCTTTGTTCACTGTTTTCATTTTTGAAAATACGTTTGTTCCGATGGGGAGCTTATTAGATGGCATTCCCAGAAAGTATTTTAATATATCAACTGACCACAGCCAAAGCCTTAAATCAAACCCACACACAACTGAAAATTGCCTCCTCCATCCCACCCTTTTCTTTGAAGAGGAAAAGGAAAAGCACATGCATAAGCCTCAGCAAATGGCAGCCCAGGGCCGGCTATCTATCTCAGCTCGGCTATCTATCTCTATCTGGGACCAGGAGGGTCAAACTTCAGGTTCCTCTTCTGTGCTTGAGCTCTGGTTCAAGACCTGGCGCTACCAACCTTTGCCTAGATTCTGAGTGGGACATAGATCTGCAGAGCTCTGCCGAGTCTGGTATGTCTTGGCTTGGCTTTTCAATATTGTGCGGCCTGGTGGATCTGACCTCTGTTGGGTGAAAGTGATATGTAGCTCTGTCAGTTCCCAGGTCAGGGGAGGGTTTTTGAGCAGTCCGTTTGAAGGAGGAATGTTTAATAAAGGCTTTGATTTAATCTGAATAGAAGCAGATCTTTTATAATCTCCAAATATCCATTAATCATGAAGCTTCCTCATCTGGAATAAGGAAGGGTTTGCAACTGTTTTTGGTGGTGTTGGTGACACTGATTTCTGGGCATCCCTCTACCCTGCTTTCAGAAGTCTTTATCGATTCCTAGATCCTTACAGACATTTCAGCGGAAGGTGGGGCTCTGGTTGGCCACTTCCTGGCTCTGTCCTGACTTGGGAAGGTGGGAATCCCCTGGGGGTTAAGCTGTAGCGACCCATTCCCCTCCCCATCCCCCGTGGAGTAATGTTCCTACAGTCCAGGGACTTGCAAGAGGAAACTGGAGTTGCAGTTCAGCATCTGCCTCTTTTATGAATGATTTCCTTCCTCCTGATTCTTAGAAGGCTCGTGACATGTACATCCTGTCTGAGGGAGCACACCCCACTGGGCCTTAGTGACGCAAGTTTTTCTGGGTTTTTCTCTGGTCACAATACAGAACAAACCTCTATCAAAATTACTGGCCAGGCCTGTAAAAGGAAGAGAAATACAGAGTGGTGGTAGTGAAAAACAAAAACAAGCATTGTTTATTAATAATGCAGCAGAGGTTGAAAGTAGGCTTGTGACTCAACACTTCTGGTGAATAAGACAAGGTGACCTCTAAGGTGATTCTGATGAAATCCTTGCTTTCTATGCCCTAGTCTTATGTCACAGGACTTCCTATTGTTTTGCAGCAGACCTGGTCTCAGCTGGCTCGCAGTAATTGTAGAATCCCAATTGGGGCTGGAAAGGACCTTGAGAGGTCAGCTGAATTGGTCCCTACAGCCAGACAGCCAATGGTTTCAGCTTTTGGTAGCCATGGTAACTGTTCCCTGCTTTTGGGATTCAGATGGTCATCAGTGTCCTCCCAGCTGCCTAGGGCAAGTATCCAGCAAGCTGTCTGCATATGTGTTCACCTCTCCCAGGCAACTGTGGTGAAGAGCAGGAAGTTTTCCTTACAAGGGGACATGACTGGGAAGCCTTCACGGAGCCCTAGAGATTGTCTTCAGTGTTTCCTTCAGGGTCTTAGTTAGGTTCTTACATCTGCCTCTGGCTTTCAGTCCCCAGTCTGCAACTGGAGGGCAACATGACAAGCTTAGAGGTGGAAGACATTCATTAAGCAAAATCCAAAGGAAAAACACCAGTTTCCAGTTCCAGAAACTGGAGGAGGATGAGATCTCTGTGTTCAGAATAGATGGCTGGAGGTTGATTCACAGACGGTGATGACTCAAAGGCTCCTCGAGCATGCGGAATTGCATTCTCTGAGTCTGGAGGGAGGTTGTGAGCCCTCAGGAAGTGAGTGGCAAAGGGCTGTCACAGAATGACAGTGGAGCAGGCAAAAGGATCTTGTCCGGCTGGAGTCATAGCAATCCTGGAGGAAGTGAAGCTTGCAGTGGAGAAGCAGAAGCTATTTGTCCTCCTGGTTGGTAGAGCTGTTTAGCCTTGGGCAAGTCATCTAACCTTTCTGGGCCAGTTCTCTCATCTGTAAAATGAGGAATTTGGAATAGAAACTCTAAAAATCTATTGTTTTCAGTTATCCTTTAGGTGTTATTGGTACTTGCAACAAGTAATATTCAACATCATTTCATTTAATCCTCTCAAATGTCCTATGAAGTAGGTTCTTGCTACTGTGTTTCAGAGGAGGAAATTGTGGCACAGAGGTCATTGGCCTAGTCTCATATGGCCCCCAAATGGCAGTCTGTCCCCAGAGTTTACTTTCAGCCTTTCCCTCATCCCTCCTGGGCTGGTCAGACTTCAACATTTTTAGAACAAGTCCTCCAGACATTTCCAACTCACAGGAAATGAAAGTACATGTACAGCACCCTGGGTAAACGGATGTGCGAGCATCAGAAGACTGGCCCAGGGGTTCCATCCACCCCAGGCCCTCCCAGCTGCTCTGCAGGTGCAGGGAGCAGTACCTCACCCTGTTTACAGGACACTGGCTAGGAAAGTCTTCAGAGAAGTCTCTGAAGGGGAGACTTGTCTCATCTTTTTCTTCCCCATGTCTGAAAGTCAGTGACAATAGCGTGTCCTTTCTAAGCATAGAAAACCTAAATGGCATTCACAACCTTTTAGCTCAGGAGCTTCTGGTATCATGAGCATTAAGATGACTCTAAAGCGTAGGGTAGTGTGACATAGTTCAGATTCCCCTTTTAGGAACCAAACCTGCAGTTCTCCCCATCCACACTGCAATGCTAGAGGGCCTGGGAGAGGAACAGGGAAACTGCAGGACTGACACCATTTTGGATGCAGCAATTTAGAGACATTATTTGACTGATAGATTTTGAACATGATAGGTAATTAGGAATGTACTAATTCACAATAATGCGGCCGGAGGCAGCTAGGGAAGAATAGAGGAGTGTTTTTCTTCTGAGTATGGTTCTGTGTGGATATATTTAAAAATTTTTTTTTTCGTTGTAGATGGACACAGTACCTTTATTTTATTTATTTATTGTATGTGGTGCTGAGGATTGAACCCAGTGCCTTACGTGTGCCAGGCAAGGCGCTCTTGCAGTTGAGCCACAACCCCTGCCTGTGGATTTATCTTAAATTGCTTCATGTCTTTCAGAATTAGAACATTAAGAAAAAAGAAGAACCAGTCTAATATGAAGGTCTTTTAGACTCTAAAATATTTCAAAGGAAATGTAGACACCATTTTGCTTTAAAGCTCTGGTATACTGGAGTCACAGGGACTTTGAAGTCAGATCTAAATCTTTATTCCTTAATATCAAGCTCTGTGTCTTAAGGCATGTTCCATGGACTCTCAGCATGTTGCCTCATCTTTATGGTGATTGTACAATCTCACAGGGTTGTCTGGATTGAATGACAATCCATTCTGCACAAGGCCAGGCACATAGGAAGTTCTTGATATGTGGAGGGTGTAAGAAAAATATGTCTGGGAAAAGAGGAGCCTATTACCACGTATTGTAGTACAGCATTTTCACATCTGGGAATTCAGTGCTGGACTCAGATGTATCCTCAGTTTCTTGAACCCATAGTTTAAAAAGCTAATAATGAAATCCATTTCTTTTGAAGACTAATGATATAATGATGACCATTTTTTTTTTTCTTGGTATTAGGGATTGAACACAGGGGTGCTTTACTACTGAGCTATATCCCCAGCCTTTTTAAAAAAATATTTTATTTAGAGATAGGGTCTTACTGAGTTGCTTAGGGCCTCACTCAGTTGCTGAGGCTGGCTTTGAACTCGTGATCCTCCTGTCTCAGCCTCCTGAGCCACTGGGATTAGAGGCATGCACCATTGCGCCTGGCCTAATGATGACTTTTGACTACCCAAAATGCCAGATGGGGGCTGGAGTTGTAGCTCAGTGGTGGAGCACTTTCCTCATATATGTGAGGCACTAGGTTGATCCTCAGCACCACATAACAATTAAAAAACAAAGGTGTCCATCTACAACAACAACAAAAAAGCTTTAAAAGAATGCTAGGTGGAAGGTACATCAGCAAATGTAAGGGTCTCCACGGTGCACAGGTCGGAAGGCTTGGCTATCACCCTTTCCACACAATTGCCATCTTTATTTTAGGAAGAGTAAAGTTAAGATGGGAAGGAGTATCTCTGAGGTCATGCAGCCACTTGGCAGCAGGACTAGAAAAAAACCCAAATTTCTTGATTCTCTGGTCACCAAGCCCCAGGGCCATTCTATAAAAAATAATTTGGAAGGTGAATTTAACAAAAGGAACTAGTCAGGTTCTTGGCATGTGGCTTTGCAGAGTGACTGGATTTCACTTTTCAGGAGAGGTGGAGCCTGATTGCTTCACTGGGTGGTACTGAGCTGTCCCCTGGTTCTGCTATGAGGGCTCCTGGCTTCCTGGCCTGCCAGAGGGAAACTGGAAAAGCTGGTCCAAGAGTATTATTGCCCCAGTAGAATTTCTGGATAAGACCTTTTTGTACCCAAATGGAAGACCCTGGGCCCCTTCTGATACTATTCTGAGATCAGTTTCTCTAGTGAGAAGGCAGGCTCAACACTGGGACAGTGAATGCATCAGAAGTTCCTCAGAGCTGTGCGATTGCTTTGAGAGAAAGTTGTGGACAATCCTTACCACTCAGGTTCCCACAAGAGAGAGGTGGGGAAGCTGGTGTTCCGCAGTGTCTAATCCAGCCTTTCTCAAACATTTGTGCCTCAGGAGCCCTTTATACTTTTAGAAATCATTGATGATCCCAAAGGGTTCTTGCTTATGTACATTTTACCTGTTGACATTTGCCAGTTTAGAAATCACATTCACATTATTCATTAAAAAATAACCCACTGTATGTTAGCAATAAATAACCATAACAGATATGTTTTCCAAAACAAAAACCATGTTAGTGAGGAGAGGAATTATTTGGCATTTTTATAAATCTTTCGTATCTGGATTCTCATATCTGCTTCAGCGTTCAATCTGTTACAATATCACGTGTCTTATAAACTCTGGAAAACACTACATAAGTGAATGAGAGTGAAAAGGCAAAAAAATTTTAAGTGTTATGAACATGTTTTCACTTCACAGATCCTTTGAAAGGGTCCTGGGAAGCTCTGAGATTCTCTAGACCACCTTTGGAAAAGCCACTAATCTATTCCAAGAGATGAAGGGGGTAAAAATCCTATTGAATGGTTTGGAGGTCAGGAGAGGGAGAGGTTAGACCCCCTCAATTTGACCCACACTCCACAGAAAGCAAACTCAGAGGGTTCTAATAGATTATTTTTGAGATTCCTCCCAACTGTTAAATTCCACATGTGGCTTCACTTTAATTCAACAGACACCAAACACCTGCTATGGGCTAAGTCTCCAAAGGATATGAAGATGAATAAGACATGGCCCTTGCAATCAGAGAATTTGTTATGTAATTGGGGGTCACATAATGTCAGGGCAAGGCCCGCTGCCAAATGTCTGGAAATGGCATCAGGCTAGCAGGTAATGGAGAAAGGGCTAATTTCCACTTCCCCATCAAAGGGAAAAACCAGATGCAATTTC